CTTGTTTAAGTCCATATAGGGACTTCACCAATCTACACACATTATGTTCTTGTCCAGGGACAACGAACCCCTCAGGCTGTTTCATGTAGATTTCTTCCTCCAGATCGCCATTTAGAAAGGCCGTTTTTACATCCATTTGATGGATTTGTAGACCATACACGGCAGCCAAAGCAATTAGCATCCGAATAGATGTAATTCTTGTGACTGGGGCGTATGTATCAAAATAGTCAAGGCCTTCTTTTTGTCTAAATCCTTGGACCACAAGTCTTGCCTTGTACTTGTCAATAGTACCATCATCTTTCAACTTCCTTTGAAGATCCATTTATATCCCAATGGTATGCAACCGGGAGGAAGATCCACCAAATCCCATGTGTGGTTATTCAAAATGGACTCAATTTCACTATTGATAGCCTCCAACCAATATTGAGCTTCAGAAGACTTCATCGCTTCTTCAAATGTCTTTGGCTCATCTTCCAACAAAAACGTTAAGAAGTCGGGACCGAATGACGTAGGCACCCTTTGACGTTTACTACGGCGTGGCTCATCAATATTGGAATCATTTTCCAATGAATCATCCCGAGGTCGCTTGGAGCTTTCTCCAACAACTACATCCTTATTCCTATACGGAAATATGTTCTCAAAGAACTCTGCACTATCATATTCTATAACCGTATTAGGTCAGAGATTTGTGATTTATAGACCAAAAATCTATATGCTTTGATATTATTGGCATAACCAATAAAGATGCAATCTATCGTTTTAGGTCCCAATTTGACCTGTTTCGGTTTTGGAACTCGAACCTTTGCCAAACACCCCCCACAAAGCATTCATCGTGTCCTTCAAAGTTCTGTTCTTCCTTTCCGCAACTCCATTTTGTTGTGGGGTATATGGAGCCGATGTTTGGTGAATAATTCCATTTTCTAGACATATTTCTTCAAATGGAAATTCATATTCACCACCTCTATCACTTCTGACCATTTTTATTTTCTTGTTGAGTTGGTTCTCAACTTCTGCTTTGAATTGCTTGAGTGCATCAATCCCTTCATCTTTGCTACTTAGCAAATATACATAGCAATATCTAGTGCTATCGTCGATAAATGTTATGAAGCACTTTTTCCCACCTCGAGATGGTGTCGACTTCATGTCACAAATGTCAGTGTGAATCAAGTCCAATGGTTCAGAAGTTCTTTCAATCGACTTGTAGGGATGTTTCGCAAACTTTGATTCCACACATACTTGAAATTTAGATTTATTGCATTCGAACTTGGGCAACACTTCCATGTTTATCATTTTCCGTAAGGATTTGTAATTCACCTGTCCCAAACGGGCATGCCACAAATGATTTGACTCAAGTAAATACGCGGAAGAAGCGTTATTATTATTAATAACATCGTTCACGGTAATTACATTGAGCTTGAAAAGGTCATTATTAAGATAACCTTTTCCTATATACACATCATTCTTGCTAATAACAACCTTATCGGAAACAAACACAACCTTGAATCCGTGCTTGACAAGAAGCGAGGTAGACACCAAATTCTTGCGAATTTCCGGTACATGGAGGACGTTGTTGAGGGTCACAACCTTGCCCGATGTCATCTTCAAGACAATCTTTCCATATCCCTCGACCTTGGCCGTGGAGGAGTTTCCCATGAATAATTTCTCCTCCGCCTTAGCCAAAGAGTAGGAAGTGAACATCTCTTTGACTGCACAAACATGGCGGGTAGCGCCAGAGTCTATCCACCATTCTCTTGGATTCCCTACCAAGTTACATTCAGAAAGAGCGGCACAAAGGTCATCCATATCCATATCATCAACAATATTAGCTTGACCTTTGTTCTTCTTCTTCTTGTGGGTCTTGCACATCGAGGCTTTATGCCCTTGTTTCCCACACTTGAAACAAGTACCATTAATCTTCTTGTTACCATTGTGGTTCTTTGTGCCGGAAGAACTTGGAACATAGTCTCTCTTCCTCTTCTTTCCCTTGGAGTCACTCTCCACAATGTTTGCACCAGAGATGGTTGATTGTCCACGGCTCTTCTTCTCGGCCAACCTATTGTCCTCTTCAATCTTTAGACGGACAATTAGGTCCTCAAGCGTCATCTTCTTACGCTTGTGCTTTAGGTAACTCTTGAAGTCATTCCATGCGGGAGGCAACTTCTCTATGAAGGAAGCAACTTGAAAAGCTTCGTTAATAATCATTCCTTCATTAAGAAGATCATGAGTAATTACCTGAAGCTCTTGGACTTGCGTCACAACGGTCTTGGAATCAACCATCTTATACTCCAAAAACTTAGCCGCAATGGATTTCTTCAATCCCGCATCTTCGGCCTTGTATTTCTTCTCTAGCGCCTCCCATAATTCCTTAGAGGTCCCTATGGTGCTATAGACATTGTACAAAATGTCATCTAGACCATTTAGAATATAATTCTTGCAAAGGAAGTCAGAATGTTTCCAAGCTTCAATTGCAAGAAATCTATCTTTCTCTGGCACTTCCTCGTTAGGATTTGGGATCTCTTCTTTGATGAACTTTTGAAGTCCCAAAGTAGTGAGATAGAAATACATCTTTTGTTGCCAACGCTTGAAATCTACACCGGAAAACTTGCCGGGTTTCTCCGCCGGTGCAAGCGAGTGAGTAGCAACTTGAAGTGGAGTACTTTGAGTTGATGTTACCGGATCTGGGTTCTCCCCATTTATTTCAAAACCAGAAGACATCTTTGTTCTTCACTATTTAATTCTCTAGAAATAGAAACCACAACACGTATTAGTAATCACTAATACCCACGAGTAGAAAACCGAAGAGGTTTAAACTCGTCCGCAGTAGGAAATCACACTCTTTCCAAAGAAAGAATGATTATATATGACCACAATATATATCACAACAGAATTATATATAATCAGTATTGAAACAGTAGCAATTAAATACGACTGCAACACAATCCTACAAAGAACAGGGACTAAAAGGCAGACATATACATCGAATCACAGAGATTAACAATAACCAACCCAGTTTTTCACACAATCATGTACGGTTCTTACAAATCTAATAAACCTTTAAATATAAGACCAATACACAACACAGAGCGAGTTATACTGAAAATATATATATACACCTCAGAGAAACACGTATATAACCCTAAAGTAACAATTATATAGATATAACTATAACACCAGAAGCAGTTTATATATATTAACCAATGTAATTAAACTTTCAATAGAGTAACTGACCAGAATTTCTTCTTAATCACAAGCGAGATCAATTTTTCATGCATGGACACCAAGTTCAGATTCATATACGTCAACTTTGGGAAGAAACAGAACACGTGAATGAAAACAAAAATAAATTCCTTAAGATTGTTATGGAAAAAACGTTTCACTAAAGTATGTTTCTTGCCACACAAGACATATATAGAAATCGACACATGCATAAACAACGCCCGAACCAATAGAATTCACTATTTCTCCTTAAGGAATTTAGTTCCCTTCTACAGTACCCAAGGTTATTGGAACTATTCCTCCCAGGATAGAACGGATGTACCTTTTCTGGCGTACCGGTACTTGAAACACCAGAATCCGACGAACGCAACGATCGGAGAGAAGTCACACGACTCTGTTTTCTTTATGAGTTTGTAGAGAGGAAATGCAATGAAGAATGGAAAATTCTTTTATCTTTTGGCCAGAAAAATTTCTTGGGAAAAACTAACTTGTGTAGAAAACAGAGGGGTAGGTGTTTATTTATAGACAATGAAGGGGTGCGCGTGAAGGGATGTGACCCTTCAAGTGGGTGGTTACACCCCAACCATTGCATCGGTTCGCCATAGTAGTTGCACAAAATGTATTTCTAAGTAATTGCTCCGGTTGGTTCATTCCAACCGCCACATCGGTTCGGTCCGATTTGGTTCAACTTGGTTTAACCAATAACTCACCAACTATTGGCTTCTTCCCCTTTCCATTCTCATTCACACCTTTCAAATCCCAACAACGAACTCACTATCAAAGTATACTTCACACTTCGCAGGGCTACATTTCAGATCCCATAGTTCATAGAACTTGTTATGAGACAATCCAAGTACCACATCGGTAATACAAGGGAAGGGGCCCTTGTATATTAGTGTCCACCAAACTTATTAGTACGAGGCCTTTTGGGGGAGGAAATCCAAGAATAAAACCGTGCGGGCTTGGCCCAAAGCGCACAATATCGTACTAATTGAGCAACCCGGTTTCGACAAGTGGTATCAGAACCCGGTTCCGTGCGGGACGGTGGACATAAGTTTGGTGGACCCTCATTCAGTGGCCTTGAGATTTGCGATCCACGTTTGGGCTACATCTAGTTTGACGGATCAAGGCCTTTTGGGGAGGAAATCCAAGAATAAAACCGTGCGGGCTTGGTCCAAAGAGGACAATATCGTACTAATTGAGCAACCCGGTTTCGACAAGTGGCATCAGAACCCGGTACGGTGCGGGACGGTGGACATAAGTTTGGTGGACCCTCATTCAGTGGCCTTGAGATTTGCGATTCCGCGTCTGGTTTGGTGGATCCACGAGAGATCCACGTTTGGGCTACATCTAGTTTGACGGATCGAAGGAGTTCCGCGTTTGTTTTTGAAAAATCCTAGCATAAGTGGTTAAGAGTGACTTTTCTACAAAGAGGATGAAATGGAATCTGAGAACAACATTTGTTAACATCACAGTAAATCCATTCATAGCTACAGCAAACAAGAAGGAAGATAAGGATCACCTTGCCTCACTCAATTTTTAACCTTGAAAAGATCACAAACAGTCATTGGCATTAATACTGAAGTGGGCTGTTTTAACACACATTTAAATCCATCGTAAAAATTAACTAGAAAATCCCTTGATCTTCATCATTTGAAACAAAACTAACAAGTTCCGCCTTAAAAATGTCCCATCAAATAATTTCTTTTTTGTGTATGTTATTGAAGGTTGTTACTCATCTTAAGGCTTAATGCCAAATCTTGCTCCACCCCTTAATCGTTAGAAGAGAGAAAAGAAAAAAAAAAAAAAACACCAATCACAAACTGAGAATTTAGATATTCAAAATTCCAGGACAAGCAGAAATCACCAAGAAAACAATGCACCCCGCGCCCTTTATTGGCTGTTCCTCGACGCCAGTTAATATCCCAGCCAGCCTTTCTTAGGATTCCTCAGTTTGCCGTCCCAGAAAAATATGGATGATTATTCTTCTCCACTACTCCCACCACCATGCGCTTTTATACAGAGATCGGAATCTTCTCCGCCGGCAATGCACATCAGACAAACGTAACCCGCGCCCCTCTATAAAACCAAACCACCCCAATCCAGTAACCTCCACTACTCAAACCATCAAAATCAACGCAGCTAAACCCATGCCTCGACTCCTCCTCCACCTCGCCCTCCTGCTTCTTCTCAGCCATGGATTCCCGGCAATCGAATCCCAGCAGCAGCTGTTCAGAGAGTACATTGGAGCAGAGGGTGTGAACGTCAAATTCTCCGACGTACCAATCAACTCCTCCGTCGAATTCCACTTCATCCTCTCCTTCGCAATCGACTACACCGATTCCTCCCGCCCAACCCCTACCAACGGAATCTTCAAGCCGTACTGGGACACCCAAAACCTCGCCCTGTCCCAGGTCTCCTCGATCAAGAACAAGCACCCCAACGTCAGGGTCGCCATGAGCCTCGGCGGCGACACCATCGGCGAGCACAACCAGTTCGTCTTCTTCCAGCCCAAAACCCCCAAAACCTGGCTCCACAACGCCATCGACTCCATCACCGACATCGTCCAGGCGTACAACCTCGACGGGATCGACATCGACTACGAGCACTTCATGCCAGGGGCGGACCCTGACACGTTCGCCGACTGCATCGGGAAGCTCATCATGTACCTCAAGGGGAAAAAAATCATCAGGTTCGCGTCGATCGCGCCGTTCGACGAGGACGTGGCGCAGAGGCACTACATCGCGCTGTGGAACAAGTACGGGCATCTGATCGACTACGTGAACTTCCAGTTCTACTCGTACGACAAAGGGACGGACAAGAAGAAGTTCTTACAGTTTTTCGACGAACAGAGTAGGAATTACAGGGGCGGGAAGGTGCTGGCGAGCTTCGGGACGGACAACAGCGGCGGTCTGAAGATGGCGGGAGGGTTCCTCGAGGCCTGCGACCAGCTGCGGAGGGAGAAGAAACTTCACGGCATCTTCATATGGTCGGCGGATGACTCGAAGAAGGCCAAGTTCCGTGCGGAGATCGAGTCCCAAACTTTCTTGGCAGCTCCCAGTAGTATAGAGTAATGGGTGTTCATCTGGGAATTTCTTCTTCTGTTGTTTATTTTGTTTGTCCTAGTGTGTTTCCGTGTTATAAAATAATCTGGATGAAATGGAATATTCAGTGACTCTCATAAATAAATATAAGAATTCATAATAAAAAAAGAACGTTTGTCAAATCTACTTATTATTATTTGCATAGTTGATAGACTGATTGATACTATATTACCTTATTTGACATAGTTGAATAGCACATCTCGCAGCAATTCATATTCGTTGAAAACATGACAGAATTAAACCATTCAACAGGTAAATAATTCAGTGAATATTTGAAATTTGAATCGAACCAAATATAATTCGATACTCTACAATTTAATAAAGAGAGGGCTAGAAGGACCAAATCAAAATCAGACTATGTCCCTGATTATTTTTCATCAGCCAACTTATGCTGAACTACTATACCAGGTTGTGCACCTCTTTGATATCAGATAAATAGTAGGACAATGGACATGGAGACCAAGAGGAGTAGAGCTCCAGAGGTAGATGTTAAGAGAGTGAATTGAAAAAAAAAAAAAAAAGAATTTAGGAGATCCAGTAGCTCAGCTTCGGTCACAAACACACAGATTACACGCTTCCCAGTTCCCACAAAAATTTAGATGCTGCGAATCAAAAGAAGAAGACACCTCCATGAGGAATGAGTAAGATCAGATTGAATAATTGAAGAAGTGGAATTGTGGAGATCCTGTTCTCAGCTCGAGTCAAAAGTTGCAGAACTACATATAAGTGGACACTTCCCAGATCTCACTCAACCCAACATGTAGACACTGAATGCCACAGAGTAGACAACCCTGAATGTAATAGCCATTTACTGAAGGACTAAGCTGAACAAGATGCAGTGTGCGGGTTTCTTTTCACCTTACACCACATCAGATCACCCCCACTAGCTTTCAATGGAATCCTTTAACTATGCAGGACAATATCATAAACCATGCTGGTAAAGCTCGTAGTAATGGATGAAGGCAATGCTTAGCCACCCAGCAACAGCAAATAAAGTAACTCTCCATCGGACCAAACACATACAAGCCATTTGGTTAATCTCAACAAAGTGTTTCCACCATACAAAATATAGGACCCCAATATTGCAACAGAACAAAGCTTGACTGATGATCATCAGCTTCAGGGCTCAAGTAATAACAATGGCAGGAATAAACATGAACAACCCTAAAACAGTATGTTGAGTTCAACATCTGAAAAACCCAATAATTTATCATTCATAAGAAAAGGAATCATTCAACCAAATAAGTAAAAAGCCTCGTACTTGGTCCGAATCCAAGCCTGGATCAAAATTTCACCCACCAATGGCGCTCAAGTTACCCCAAAAATAAACATCCTGATTCCATCCTCCACGCTTCCATCACTCAGTTTATCAATCGTTTCACCTCTTCTTCTTTCTCGGCCGCTCTTCGGAGTGACTGTTATCTCTCCTTTCCTCCCCATTCTCACCACTCTTTCTCTTCTTCCTATTCTCGTCCTTTGGCTTCACCCCATCACTCTTCTGTTCTTCCTCCTTAATCCTCTTTTTCTCACTCACAGCATCCTGGGCACCAGTTATGGCACCATTTACCTTGTAGCCATCAACATCGCCATTCTCAAGTCCTTTACTCTTATGCTTCTTCTTTTTCTTTTTCTGCTTATCACTCTCACTACCAAAATCCCCTAAATTAGCTTCCGCATGGCTCAGTTCACCCTTCACCTCAACCCCTTTCTTGTTCTCGCCGCCCCCTGAAGTACCGAGATCGCTCTTCTTCGTCTTCTTCTTATTTGACAGCTCTTCTTCCTCACCATTACCCTCGCCTTTACGCTGCTCCTCCTCAACCTTAACCTCATCCTCTCCCTTCTTCTTTCTTTTATGTGGCTCCTCCGAATTCAACTGGGGCTGTGCCGTCCCCTTAGAGAGTTGAACTCTCTCATCCACGGTGGTAGCGGAAGTGGTGGTAAGTGCAGAGGGTTCGGCAGCGCCTGACCTGTAATTCTCGCGAGCCCTGCGCTCAGATTTGGAGCGCAATCGTACCAGCTCGTCGAAAGCAGAGTTGGCGCGCCGGAGGTACGCGTTGACGGCCTGGGAAGCGCCGGTGTCGGCGGAGACGAATTGGGAGAGGATGGAGGCTGCCTTGGACAGAGAGACGGGTGTCGATGAGACGATTTCGCCGGTCACCGACTTCATGATCTCGGGATTTTGGTAGGGTTTAAGGTCGACGGTTGAAGAGAATTTAGTGGTTAACTGGGGTTAGGGTTTGACGAGATTTTGGCGGCTCCTCCTCGCTCCGTGTTTTAAGAGAAACAAATGAGCGGCAGAAATTGGTAAAATTATTTTGCATTTTTCCTTTTTTATCCCCTCCTTTTTCGCGGATGCTACGACGTCGTAATGGGGAGCTATTTGTGTAGACTGTAGCATGGTTGTCATGCCGGTGGCATGCCACCCGGTTCAACCTGGTTCAACCTCTGCCGGTCATAAAATCGGCATGACAATACCGGTATGGCCGGTATGATCGACTTACGCATTCTAAGTAAAATGCCATAATTTTAATGAGTTTAATGAATAAAAAAAATTAATTTATTATTCGTTTTATGAATGTAATAGTTAAAAGTTGATAATATTTGTTGGATTATAACTAAATTGTCCACAAATATATTTTATATATGATTAAATACATGAGATATTAATTGTTTTCACATTTTTTAAACCAGCATGAACCGGCACAAACTGGTTATACCACGGGTCATACCATTCCACCTGTCAAACCGGCACAACGGTATAAACCGGTTTGACAACTTGCTGTAGAGACTCTGTAGAGGGTTTTCTTTAGGGGTGAACAAACACACCCGTAAACCGACCCACCCATCCAACCCGACCCAACCCATCCGTATTTATCGCTAAAACGAAGGTTTTGGATTGGGTGAAGGTTTTCTTTTGTACAACCCGCCTCTTTTGGGTTGGGTTTGGATTTTGGATTACACAACCCGTAGAACCCGACCTAACCCGTGTTCCAACTATTAGTATGATTTCGTATATAAAAAATATTTATGTCGTATATAGCAATACTTATGAGAAAATTAAGATATTTCGCCATGTTTTTCTATCATGGTTTCCCTAATCTAATGCATTCTTCGACTTAAAGTTTAGACATAAATTGAGTATAGTTATGATTCACGTTATCATTTTTCTTGTGTACAATTTTAATAGAATAACATATTATGGAAGCGTTTGTTTATAACATTTTTAGTCTATTTCAACAAATATCGTGAAAAAAACTAGACATATGTTGAAGTAAATCACATTTTATTAAAATTCAAACAACATTTTTGAATTTTGATAGCTTTCACCTCGGTTTGTTCGTTTGAAATTTTAATTAGTTATAAAATAATTTTATCATGTATAATAATTATATATTTTAGGTTGGGTTGGGCTTTTACTTAAAAATATCGCTAACCCGACCCAACCCAATTAGAAACAAACCGTAGGGTTTTAATTTTTTTTGGTAGGTTTGGGTTTGATAATTTTCAAACCGTAGTGCATAGGTCGGATGATTAAAATGGTTAAACCCGAACTGTCCGACCCATATACACCCCTAGTTTTCTTCTCCTCTTGTTTCACTTTCAGCTTCTCCTGATAGGCGGCGAACTGCCAAGCAATAACCCGTCGCTTTCATCATCGTCCAAACTCCCGCCCGTCATCTCTGCAAAGCCCTAAACCTCTCTGTTTCCAGTTCAGTCCAGCTTCCTGATTCGGCCACTCGCTTATGCTCTTCGCAACTCACATCACGGCAGTAATCTCGGAGTTTCACTGGGAGATTGTCGATCACAGTCGCGTTTCGGGGCTACCGGCTTCGTGGTAGTCTGATTCTGACATCGCATCTCTCCTTGTTCTGCGGCGGCGGAGAAGCACCGCTGGAGTGCAGAGATGCAGAACCCGCAGCAGAAGAGCGGTGACATAACGTACACGAAGCAGCCCTACGTTGAAGATGCGGGCCCTCGTAGAATGTAAGTTGAATTAAGTATTCAGAACTCTGATTTTAGTGAAAGCCTTTTTATTCAGTGCTAAGTTTATGGCTTTTGTAGCAACTGGTAGCATACTGTATTTGAATGCTGCCTGTGATGAGGGATTATAAGCTTAAACACGCTTTTGGTTTCTCTTTCGTTTCCATTTCACTCATGTTGTGCTTAAAAGTGTTGATGAATTGATGGTGATGATGGTGGTGGCTTCTGTACAGCAAAAGCATGCAATTTTCGGTTATGTCAGAATCTGATGTCTTAAAGGCGGCTGAATGTCAAGTGCATCTTGGAAGTTACTATGATATCAATACAAAGCCCATTGCAGGTGGCTTGTTGGATCCCAGAATGGTACATAGTTGATTCCTTCCCTTCTACTTCTGTATAGTCTATTGCTTCTGTGAATTTGTTACAGTGATGTTTGAGTTTTTGCTGGCAATGCGGTCTCAGCAACACCGATTTCTGACAATGCTTTTTTTATTATTTGTTTCTTTCTGGACTTCGTCTTCGTGATGCTTTTAACAGGGCCCTGCGAAGAAATTCGGAATGGCCTGTGAAACATGTGGTGGTAACTTCAATGATTGCCCTGGGCACTTTGGGTATTCATCTCTTACGCTGCCAGTTTTTAATGTTGGGTACCTGAGTACTATTATGGACGTTTTGAAGTGCATCTGTAAGGTAATTTATGTTCTTCTGATGTTTTTTATCTGCTGCTACGATTCTCATGTACAAATCTTCGATCTGCTTTCGCAAAGGTTTTCACCAGTTTTATCTGTTCTGAATTATGCTGATGGTCATTACGGCCCACGAGAAACAGTTGGGCTATGCCATGCTGTGCCAACGTTTACTGCAAGCAACCACATGGCTTTTTCTCTTTGTCTTCATCATTTTTACTTAAGCTATGATGGACAGAAATGTTCACACTTTTCTATAATCCTATTGGAAATAATTGTCTATCTAGTCATTGCCAAAGAATGAGGAAGTTTATCTTTTCCCTTTACAGAATTGTTCCCGTATACTTCTTGATGAGAAGTCAGTAGAGAAGCATTTAAGGCAGATGACAAATCCCAAGTTGGATCCCCTGAAGAAGACTGCTATAATGAAGTCTATCGTGAAGAAATGCAGTACCATGGCCAGTGGAAAATCTATAGAGTGCCGCTACTGTGGTTACAAGAATGGTTTGGTTTCTGGCTTTTCCTTTCCCGGGGAACTATTTTATTTGGATGATAAAGTGCTTTTTCGCTGAAATTTGTAACAGTCATCGAAATTATCAATTCCTGTCAACATCCTCATTATTAATATGTTGAATAATTTACATCCTCTTTTTCGTTGTCCACAAATGTTATTGTTGATATCTCTTGAGTTTACATTCAACTGCAAATAGGTTTAGAGCGTTGAATATCTTTTCTAATTTTCAGGGATGGTGAAAAAGGATAGAGGTTATCTAGTTCATGAGCATTCAAAGTCAGACGATAGCTTCCCCAAGGAATGTCGATCTGCTGTTTCACACACCAAGGATGTCAAGAGTAACATTAATCGTGCAACTTATTATCTTAACCCTGTCAAAGTGCACTCTATATTTGAAGGAATGTCGAATAAGGTGTAGTTCACAATCCTTCTTTTTTCAACCTAGTATTATTTCTTTGTCTTGATTGTATTTTTTTTTTCTTTTGTTTCCTTTTCATGTTGATGGTGGCAGGATTGTGAATTACTTTATCTTTATGATAGACCTGAAAAGCTCATCATTACAAAGATTCCTGTTCCACCTATTGCTATCCGACCATCAGTTGTTGTGGAAGGATCACTGAGGTATCTATTGACATACACTTTCACCACAATCAATTTTGGATTCTCTTGTAGTCGTGCCGATCGCTGAGTGTCTTCTGCATCTCTTCTGCAGCAATGAAAATGACGTCACAGAGAGACTGAAACAAATTCTCATTTCGAATGCAGCACTTCGCCATGAGATAATGGAAGGCAAAAAGCCATTCGACAAGCATCTGGTTTATGTTTCTCAAGCTTCTTGGCATTTCTTTCTACACAACTCATTATGTTTAGAACTCTCATACTCGCGTTGTTTGACGTAGGATAATTGGGATCACCTTCAAGCTATGGTTTCACTTTATGTAAATAGTGACACTCGCATCCCAAGTAATTTGGAAGTTGGCAAGCCCATGAGTGGACTTATTCAGCGTCTCAAAGGAAAAACGGGGAGATTTCGTGGCAACTTATCTGGAAAGCGTTCTGAATATACTGGCAGAACTGTTATATCTCCGGACCCTAATCTGAAAATAACAGAGGTCCTCTTACACTTCCATTCCTGTTTTCTTGTGGATAGTTTTCGTTATCCCCCTTGTCCCGTGATTTTTAAAACTGTGTGGTGGATTGTAGGTAGCAATTCCAATCCATATGGCACGAATTTTAACTTTTCCGGAGCGTGTTTCCCAACACAGTATTGAGAAGTTGAAGCAGTGTGTCAGTAATGGCCCACTCAAATACCCTGGTGCAAAGATGGTCACATATCCTGATGGTTCATCAAAGTTCGTACCTATATACTTTTCTTGTCATGAAGTGTTTTCTTTCTTTATCAAATACTTACATGTATTATGCTATGATGCAGGATGTTGCAAGGAAACTTCCGAAAACGCGTTGCTGAGGAGCTGAAATTTGGTTGTGTTGTACATCGCCATTTGGAAGATGGCGACGTTGTTCTTTTTAACAGACAGCCAAGCTTGCATCGGATGTCTATCATGTCTCATAGGGTGATTAAATGATCCAAAGTTGCTGCATTGAATCACATGATCTAGTTGATATATTCATTTGGTCCCTTTTGTTGTGCTTGCAGGCCAGAATTATGCCCTGGAGGACATTGAGATTTAACGAATCTGTTTGCAATCCATATAATGCTGATTTTGACGGTGACGAGATGAATATGCATGTCCCACAAACAGAAGAGGCTCGTACAGAGGCTTTGACTCTGATGGGGGTAAAGATTTATGTCGTTCCATCTATATGTCTGCTGTGAAAGCATTCCGTGCCCTTGGCTCAGTTTCGTTGATGGTCAATAAATGTCGTTCTTAAAGAATTTATCTTCTTCCTGTTTGTAGATATGAATCTTGCATGTACAAGAAACCTAAGTTTTGATTTTCAGAGCTGTAAGGAATTTAGAGCGATATTTTCATATGAAGGAGATGCCTAGGTGTTGATTATAGTTATATTTCTTTTTTCTTCTTGACTGAGGCTTTGTACTAGGGGTGACTTCATAACAAGAAGTTGCGCAACTCAATATTTTGTGTCCATCCTCTTCATTCCCTTCTGCTGGTCCTGCATTAACTTATGCGTGTCGCTTTTTTCTTTTGTCTGCTCAGTCATAAAAGTCTTCTTCTGCTTCTGCTCAGTAGGTCAGAACTACTTCAGAGTGTAGACCATGCTAACCATAAGGCGGCATTTGTTGTAATATGACACTAGATCCTGCTGAAGTCCACCACCCATTCCGTAGCACTAGTCAGAATTTAATATTTTGGCCGCTGGAGTGGGAAATGGTGCATTGTTCTTTTGTAAAATGAAGAGCGTCTTTCTGAAGAATTTGCCATTATATTTTCTGCAGTTTTTTCATTCATAACTCGCTTGGTGTTTTAACCTTTCTTTGAATAGCTCCATTATTGGATTTCTTGCCTCCTTCGACTTTGAGATGCTTGCCCCTCAGATATCAAACTTCCAATAAATTTCTGTTGCGCAGGTGCAAAATAATTTGTGCACACCAAAAAATGGAGAGATTTTGGTTGCTTCCACACAAGATTTTTTGACGACTTCATTTCTCATAACAAGGAGGGATACGTTCTATGACCGTTCAGCATTCTCACTTATGTGCTCCTATATGGATGATGCCATGGAATCTGTGGATTTGCCTACACCTGCGATATTGAAGGTTAGATAAGGAGTTCTTGTTTCCACTGTTATATGATTCTTGAGGCAGTATATGCCAAATTGATCAAATTGAGATTCATATGTTTCAAAAGGCCAATTTATCAATTTGTTGTGTGAATATTCAGGATTTATTAATAAGAAATCTACCAAGGACACGTTAAGGGGTGTTGTTTGGAAGCTTGATTGTTAGAAAGTGTTTATGTAGAGATTATAGCATATGAAATCAGTGGATTGTATAAATAAGTTGATTGTATGAATACATCATTTGAAAATTATGATTGTGAATTCGAAATTTTTACGTTCTGAGGTCAATGCTACTTCCTGCAGCAAATGTAAGTAAATTTGTTATGATGAACTAAGAGTATAAGGCAGAAAAGGGAAAATAAACTTAACTATGAAGCATTTGAATTAGTAGTTCAAATTGGAATTTCAAAAGCATCATCTTGCTTGAACAACATGCATTTAACAAAGCTTTGTACATAAGCACAATTTATTAACTAAATGCAGTCTTAGCATATGGCATTTGAAATAAGCTCCAAATGATCCCTAAACAGTATTGGATGATAGCAGAATAAATAGACCTGGAGTTTCACAATGAAACCATTCATCAATGTTCTATGTTTTTCCACTATTTTTTTATTCGAGGTTCACTTATTTGTACTTCTAAATTTTGTGGAAAGACATGTTTTCTAGTTTGAGAGTATATATGCTCATCAACTGATAATTCTGTTTGAACAGCGAGGGCCATCAGGGCAAATGTCCTATATCTATTTTCCTGTGGTCGATTTTGCTTTGGTCAAAGCAGTAATACATCTTTGTGGTCCTATTTTAGAATGCTCCATTAAGCCTTTAGTGTTGTTTTCCTATATTTGCCACTGTTTTTACTTTACATTTGTCTTGAACGGAGCTGCTTTATGCAGCCAATAGAGCTCTGGACTGGAAAGCAACTGTTCAATGTCCTGTTGCGCCCCAATGCAAATGTCAGAGTATACGTGAACCTGACGGTCAAGGAGAAAAACTACTCGAAACCTCAGAAAGGAGATAAACGAGAAAAGGAAACAATGTGCCCTAATGATGGATTTGTTTACTTCCGGAACAGTGAGTTAATATCTGGACAACTGGGGAAGGCTACCCTAGGTGAGCATGTTTTCCCTGTAAATTGTTTTGTGGAAGTATGTGATCTTGGTTGCTGCTGCTATGCAGGTTCATGTATTCACATGGGATCTGATCTATTTTCCGTCTTTTCTTGAAATAACTATTTTAATTGCAAATACGTTCCTGGAACGTGTTCATGAAACATTGTATTTCCCCACACATCTTCTGTTAAGAGATCATTGCCCTTTAGGTCATTCAAAAGTGACGGCTGGTTTAATGTTACTCTTTGATGCTGTTAGAACTTACCCGAATCATAAGAAATTTCTTTATCAAAAAGATTTTTTTCTCTTGCTATTTGATACAGGCTTATTTGACTCTTTTTTGGAATTATCTCATGTGAGCATTATATGTTTACATTCCTTTATTTTCCTGTTTTGATGCAGACTTTAGTTAGCACCTAAATATGCATTGCTTAGTCATGAATCAGTGAGTGGACTTGAAGTTAAAAATATTATGATGAACTTTTTTGGTACTATCCAACATGCTTTGTCATGAATCAGTGAGTGGACTTGAAGTTACAAATAGTTTTTTCTAATATAGAGATACTTTTATCCTTTCAACATGCTTTGTGTGATGATTCTTGAGTAAAATGATTGTGAAATTTGGGTTTGGTGAATGCTTTTCCAGCTTGATATTCTAGTTTTCCTTCTTATGTGCATAATACGTTCACACCTTGCCAAACTTACCTGGTCTTGGATATCTTGACTTAGTGTACTTCACATTGGGACTGTTCCTCCAGGAAATGGTAACAAGGACGGGCTTTACTCTGTCCTTCTTAGAGATTACAATACATTTGGTGCTGCTGTTTGTATGAATCGACTTGCAAAATTGAGGTAACACGGTTTTTCGACATAGATATATGTACTGTCGCAGTTGTGAATTGTACCGGATTTTCTTTTGATATCAGGAAGTCTTGGATGTTTCTTTTATGTACTATCCTTACGTTTTGTTTGGATGTCTATGTTCATATTCCATGATCATCGAAATGGGAACCAGTTTGCAGCAATGTTACTCTTTTGTCTCTGTGATGAAACTAAACATATGAGAGTCGGTACTTAACCCAAAAAAAAAAAAAAACAAACAACAGATTGTCAATGGTATAGTTTCATACGGACCAACTTTGATATTTCTTAGAAATAACAATGTGTTGTAACTGAAGATGGCATGTGACGAAAACATGGCTGCAAAAATATGTAAACTAAAGAGAGGTAGTGAAATGGTATTCTGGTGAACTAGCTTTCTTCCCGGCCATTGCCCGGGTTTATCATTTATAGCTTTCTTTTTAACTATCTTAAAAAATTAGTTGAAATTCTCTCAATGATCTTCATGTATTCATAAACCCAGTATGCTAATAAAAAGTATGCTAGATGTTGATTCAATTCTCAATTCATAAGTATGTCATTTATTAAAATTTTTTAACATTTAGCATAATCACATACAATAATATAATTATCAAATCATTACAAAATCCTACAAACATTGCAAGATTTAATGTGCCTATGAAATTTGAGATGTGGTTGTATTTGTAGGCACTACACACATATTCTTAATATCTAATAATTGAATGAAGATGTGATTTTACTTGTTAACACTAATTAAACTTTAATCATGTACGTATCACTAAATTTTTATTTTTATTTTGGCCAGATTTTAAACTACCAAGGGCAAAATGATGAGGAAAAAAGCATATTTACAGGTCAAGAAAAATCAGTTTGAAATAATGTACTTAGAAGTTAGAACCATTCTGAAAATGATAAACTATAAGTTATAAAAAAATGATAAACTATATAATTATCATTGTTATAATTATTATATATTCTTTAAAAGGGGACGGAAATGGTGGTGAAACTTGTGAGGAAAAAAATTAAAGCAAAAGGGGAAAGATCAGGATAAGTTATATAAAAAATTGAAAAAGAAGGAAAAAAGTAAAAATCTGAGAACTACGGGGAGTGCTGGAAATTTTAAATGGGGAAGGTGGTTTTGAGAAATCCCTTTATATATTTTGTAGATCTAACAATGTAGCACCCCTTGAACCTTGTTTGGTCATTGTTATTTTGTAGTAGTCGTGAGCCTGTAGAGTTCCGCTTAGGGCACAATTCTAATTTTGATTTATTTATACAGTTTTGTTTTGTGAAACTGTGATCATAATCTAATTTGTCGTGCCTAACAACTGCATTATGATGCTAGATCGTTCTACTGTTTTACTATTAGATTTTATGGGTGGGTGAACATTGTCTCCTGTAACTGTTGTCTTGTTATCAAGTCTCAACTTGCTGAAGATTGGATATGCTAATGATTATAAATAAGTAGAGCTAGTTTCTGATAATACTACATCATGCAGCTTGTTATTTTTATTACCTGTTTGACCCTGCATGCAACTTCTGAGTAATGGCTTCATGATTTTGAACTTATTCTGTCAATTGCCATTTTAATGCTTGCATTTGAGTATTTGTTTACTGAAAATTTATGTCTTAGTGCTGTTGTTTACTGTAATGTATCCTGTAACAATACTAAAACATGACAGTTAAGCGTTTATGCTTGAGTGCAGTGCTCGGTGGATTGGAAATCATGGCTTCTCCATTGGAATTGATGATGTTCAACCGGGAAAAAGGTTGAGCGACGAGAAGGGAAGAACAATTTCAAATGGGTATCAACATTGCAATAAAATAATAGAGGAGTACAATCAAGGAAAGCTTGCACTCAAACCTGGTTGTGATGCAACTCAGACCTTGGAAGCCGAAATAACTGAGAGATTAAATAAACTTCGAGAAGAAGCTGGCGATGTAAGGATCAGACAAATATTTTATAACAATCTGGTTAATTGTAGGCTTTAGATGGTTACTACTAGATCGGTTGATTTCATGCATCCCCTTGTATCCATAGTGGTAAAGTCTAGTCTGGCAGATTGATAGGCTGATTGTATGACTTTCTAGAACTTTTTAATTTTATAAAACATCTACATTGTTGTATTTGGAAACATTTTCTTTCAATAACTTGGCTTATTGTAAATAGGTGTGCATGAAAGAACTGCACTGGCGAAACAGTCCATTGATCATGTCACAGTGTGGATCCAAAGGTTCGCCTATCAATATCAGTCAGATGATTGCATGTGTTGGACAACAGTCAGTTGGTGGCCGCCGTGCACCAGATGGATTCATAAGTCGAAGTCTTCCTCACTTCCCTCGAATGTCTAAGACCCCTGCTGTAAGTTGAGAGCTTTTATTCCAATTTCTGCCTATATAAGAAAATACTCCATTCCTGCACCTCATTTGTGTAATTGAAGCGTATTATTTTACTCCCCCCTCACACCGCAGTGAGAATTTAAATGAAAAAAGTGGACATGATATTTTCATTTCATTCTTGATATTTTCAATTATTGATAGGAAATTATTCTCTTTATGGAGAGGTTTGCAGGGAGTCTATGCATATGATACATTCGTGTCTTAAATAGCCTTTAGCTGCCACTTTCAAAACATTTTGTAACATCACCTATTGTATTGTGCAGGCTAAAGGATTTGTGGCTAATTCATTCTACAGTGGATTGTCTGCGACTGAGTTTTTCTTTCATACGATGGCTGGTAGAGAAGGTCTAGTGGATACAGCGGTATGACAACTGCTGCTTGTTACTTTTCCTTATTGATTGAGAATTTGTTTCATGTGTGCTAGTTGAGAAGCCATTGAGTACACATCTTGGATTGTTTTTCTTAATCAAATAATGACGAGTGGAGTTTTATAACATCAATTTACTATTCTATCTCTAGGTTCGAGTTCTTAGGACATATCTGAGCTATAATAAGAGGGCGCAAAGAAGATGAGATTCTTATTAGATTTTTCGACATTCGCCATAAGCTTCGCAAGTAGTTTAATTTGAAACTAGCTAGACCTCTATGTTCTGACATGAGCAGGGATTATGCATCTTTCATCTCTTGTGATATTGGCAGTTACTCATCCTGATAACTAACTCCGATAGAACTTGAGTTCTCATGGTTTAAGTGAGAGACTGAGGTCCGCCATTCCCCGGGTATGAGATGCCTTCAGTCCTAATATGCAACTACTGTTTCCTCAGGTGAAAACTGCTGACACAGGATACATGTCTCGTAGGCTGATGAAAGGCCTTGAAGATTTATCCGTTCAATATGATAACACTGTTCGAAGTGCAAATGGTGGCATTGTGCAATTCCTTTATGGGGATGATGGTTTAGATCCCGTGAAAATGGAGGCTAAAGGAGGATTCCCATTAAATTTTGATCGATTGCTCATGAAAGTCAAGGTTTGTATTCCCACAAAAAAAAGTAAAATTTTACATTTGTTTCTTCTTTCATATCATTGAATATCATATAATGATTAAATATATCTTTGGATTGATCTTTCCGTAGGCCACGTGTCCCATGGAAGGAGATGACTACTTATCTCCTTCAGATATGTTTGAGACCATTGAAGGTATACTGCAAGATGATCAGACTCTTGACAATGCTTCTTCAGATGCCTTCCGAAAAAGTCTCAGTGATTTCCTGTCCAAGCACGCTGAGAGATTAGAGAGCATGTTAAGGAAGGTGAATGGCCATGAGGGAGGAATATCTGATGGTATGGAAGATGCTGAATCTGCACAAGTAAATATCAGTCCTAGCTGCAAGGTTGTCTATAAAATATATGGTTTTACCAAACAGCAGTTGAAGGTAAGCTGGGCTATAAATCTTGATTCTCAGTGAAAGTTCAATTTCTTCTTCTAACTTGTGATGTTAATTGTTCACTTGTTCTTTGTGTGACTAGTGACCATGGCTGTAGACACAAGGCAGGTTAAATATTTGGGATCAAGTCCTTTTATCAGATGGTTTCTAACTTTTAAATCCCTACTTGAGGTCGTTAAGGTCTAGTGGAGTTTCTATTGTTATGTGATCTTGTTGGTGGTGTTTGGTCATGTTTCAGTTCGGGTATCTTTGTCCTACTTGTTTGGATATCGACTGAAGGTGGCCTAGTGGTTAGGTTGAGAATCTAGAAAAACGTGCTTACATTATTGTAGATACTTGGAGTTAAAAGTAAAAAAGCAGAACCTGTTTGTGCCTAAGAATTGTTGGATAAGTGCCGTAGTAGACATTTTGTGTCCTATTTCATTGTCTTGCTCTCACATGAATCTTGATGTTGAAGGTTGGTTAACCCAGCAATGGATATGAGATTCGTGGTATGATAAACTGCTAGTTGTTTGATGATCCGCTGAATTTGTTAGGCTGTTTTTCATAGTAAGTGTATTTATAAGGTATTGTCATGCATACTTTTGTTCAAGCGAATATAATATTGTTTCTAACCTTCCTGTTTCTTACTTTCTTGGTTATTTGTCACGATCTGCATGTAATGAAAATGAACTGCAGGTTTTTCTGAGAGTCTGCATTGATCGTTACCTTTGGAAGAAGGTTGAACCTGGAACTGCAATCGGAGCAATTGGAGCTCAAAGTATTGGAGAACCTGGGACACAGATGACACTGAAAACTTTCCACTTTGCTGGAGTTGCAAGCATGAGTATCCTTTACTAATCTCTTGCGACTACCCTTTTTGATACTTTTCTTACTCTGGTTTATCAGTTGCAGCTACAGTTTCCTGGGTTGATTGCTTAATGCCTCTTAGATATCACACAGGGAGTTCCTCGTATTAAGGAAATAATAAATGCAGCTAAAAAGATCAGCACTCCCATCATAACTGCTGAGCTTGAGAATAATACAAATGTAAATGCTGCTCGAATTCTAAGAGGGCGTGCCCAGAGAACGGTTTTAGGCCAGGTTTGTTCTGTGGCTCACGCTTAAGGCAAAGATGTGCAAGCTATACTATATGGTCTTTTGCTTGTAGTAAGGTCCAGGTGCGAATGAAGATACATAGTTTATCTTATTAAGCTATTGGCCCACCGCTGTTAACTGGTTTATCTCCATGTGTAAGTTGGTATTATGAAGATATGATAAATGATGATGATGATAAATATGATTGATAGGGTTGCTATGTGTAAGGGTAGAGTTATAATGCAGAATAAGATTGGAAAGAAGCAATGAGAAGGCCGTTTGGTCTAATTCACTCATGGAATGAGGGAAAGGCCCTAGTAAATTTCTGACTGCTTAAAGGAACTTGTCTGTGCACTGTAAAAAATCATCTCGACTGTATTGATAGGGAGGTGTCTGACCTGAAAAAGCATAAAGGGGTTGTTGCTTCTGTGAAGCTCAATGTATTATGTTGTGCATTTAACTAGTTTTTACTTTATTTGTGCCAGTTGTAACTGCTGATCCATTCTAATCAAGACTCTCATGGGTTGTTATCAGCTTATCTTGCTTTGGATTTGTGTGATTTATTGCTCTTCCCTGCATGATAAATTTCCCATGGATTTCACAGGTTGCAAAAAGTATCCAAATTGTGATGACTTCAAGATCAGCTTTAGTTAGGGTTACACTTGACATGGAAACCATTCAGGAGGCTCAACTGGCTCTGGATGCTTACATCGTACGGCAAGCAATTTTACGGATTCCAAGATCTAAGATAAAAGAGGAGGTAATAAATTGATTGAAGGAGAGGAAAGGGCAAGGCTCCCAGAAATAAATGATAGATCTGAATGGAAACTGAGCTTTTCTCGGAAATAGAGTTTGGATGAGATATCATCTGCTGCTTGCAGAATAATGGCTTCTCGTAACCCTTTGTTTCAACCTGCAGCATGTGAAAGCTTCGGATGGGAGAAAGTTAGAAATATCTACGCAGGGTGGCAGAAATAAACTTCATTTTGAACTCCATCATCTCAAGAATATGCTCCCAAATGTGGTAGTGAAGGTTAGATTTCTGCTCAAGTAATGTGTTCAGAAAAAATCTCTCATCTTACAATTGACTCCTTTGTCTGTGGGGTTCACTGTCATTTACTGTTCTCCTTATGCTAGGGCATTCAAACAGTTGAACGGGCTATTATTGCCCAGAAAAAGCGCGAGGGAAGTGGCAAAGATCAAGAGATCCCAAAGTACAACATGTTGATAGAAGGGTTAGTTTTTTCTAACTTGATTTTGCAGTTTTGCTTAATATTTTCAGAGTTCTGTATAGTTAGTAAGGCCCCGGATTGATAGTTGTTTCACTGTGTTTTCAGTTATATAGAGAAACAGTAAAAGGACCAGATATTTCTGCAAACTTCTCACAATCATTAGAAAAAGACATTTATTATTTGCTTCAACTATCTAGTCATCCTGCACTTATTTCTTTCTTTCAATTCTTTCATCTATTTCTTCAATTTGTGGCATGTAGCTCTCTAGGGAGTTCTTACTAATAGATCATGAAGGAATTCTCCAGTGTAGTAATTCTCAACCTTATGCATCTTCTCTCAGAACGGGACTTTTAGAGGTGATGGGGATCGATGGGATCGATGGGTGCAATACGACGAGTAATCATGTTATGGAAGTTCAGCAAGTGCTAGGAATTGAAGCGGCAAGAAGGTGCATAATTGAACAGATAAAAGACACCATGGAAAGCCACGGGATGAGCATAGACATGCGCCATATGATGCTCTTGGGAGATATAATGACATTTAAGGTGAGTCTTTTAGTCCCCCTGATTAAGAAAATAGAAGCTGCACAATACTTTTCTTGACATGTATCTATGGTAACAACAGGGTGAAGTACTTGGGATCACAAGATATGGTATCCAGAAAATGGACAAGAGTGTGCTGATGCTTGCTTCCTTTGAAAGAACGGCAGACCACCTTTTCAATGCATGCGTGAATGGGAGAGAAGACATGATAGAGGGGGTTAGTGAATGCGTCATAATGGGGATCCCTGTTCCCTTGGGTACTGGGATACTCAAAGTTCGCCAAAGGTACGACACCAACTATACTCATCTCTTCTACTACTATGTAGGGGCATGGATAACGAATGGCATCTGCAGTTCTCCGGATGTCGTCGTGATTTTTGTTATGAATTCTTATATTGTTTATTGCGCTGCAGGGCCAATGATGTTGCACCAGCCATGTTGCCGTATGGACTGGATCCTATATTGGCGTAGAACGGTGGTTTCATCGAAGTTCTGGTGTTAGAAGCTGGCTTTATTCTTCATTTGGTGTTGGTCCCTTCCAGGTTGTGTAAATAGGTAGAGCCTGAGTTGTTGCGTATACCACAAGTAATAGAAGAAAGAAGCGTGATTCCCTTTTCCTTAGGAGGCAGGCCATTCAATTTATTGGTCATTTAGTTTGAAGGTGGTGTCCTTGTTATTTAGTTATCAACTGTTCCAGCAGCTCGTTACTATTTATTAAGTTGCGAAAAGGATTTTTTTGTGACTATTGGATAATTGTTGGACTCAACTGTCAAAGCCATGCATTTGCTAATAAAAAATGCATGAGTAATTTCTTCCATTCGAAAGTCTAATGATTTTATTGAGTCATTATTTACAGGGCGGTTAATGAGCCGAGTCGAGCCGAGCTTTGTCATAGTTCGGGCTCGGCCCGTTAATATATTTTCAGGTTCGAGCTCGGCTCGTGTTCGTCACGAGTTTTAATATGCAGGCTCGAGCTCGGCTCGTTTATGAAAATGAAAGCTCGAGCTCGGCTCGTCAAATAAGCTTAACGAGACCAAAATCGAGTTCAGCTCGTAAAATGTTCATGATAGCTCAAGATTGACCTAGAATTGCGTACAAAATTACATTCAAACTTGCAGCAAAGTCTAGCAAAGTAAAACACAATATTTATCCCAATTTCAATACATAAAATCCATGAATTCTAATTCTTTTTTTTTATGCCAAACCATTAAATGAGCTTGTTCGGGAGCTTTCGAGCGGAACATGGTATGGCTCGAGTTCGGCTCGTTTAGTTAACGAGCTTGTTCGCGAGCCGGCTCGATTAAAACGAATCGAGTGTCGAACGAGTTTTTCTCGAGTCGCAAATTGAGTCGTTCATGAGCAGTTTGGTTCATTAACAGCCCTAATTATTTAATACATACTCTTCATGAGTTATTTTTAAACTATATGCTTGTCTCTTTTGTGCAAATTCACTTTCATCCTTCCCTTTCTATTATTAGTTTTTCATGTTCTGTTTTGTCTCCTTTTGAATGTTTTTTCTTCTCCAAAGTTTCACAAGTGACAAAAAGAGACATCTATTTAATTTAGTGATATATCTTTTTCATTCACAAGCATATCCTTTGTAAGTAGTTTAAATGTCTACATTTTCAAATATCTACATTTCTCGAAGGTCTATTGAAACAAATAACTTGTTTTGTAAATGATTCGTGCAAGACCTGTTAACAAGGTCACTCAAAAAATATCACTATGATTAGAAGTTTAGAACACAAGAGACAAGCAACACATATACACCAGCATTGAAGATACCAAAATTAATCGCTGCTATGAATTTGCCAAAACCAATCTATCGGCATTCATTACATTATGCACACAGATTCGTTCCACATTCTCAACCTTCAGTTTGGATAATCGCTAACAGTGATCTGCAGTTCGGAATCATCCCTCTCGCACGAATACTGCCTTACAAAGGCTCTTCTCCACCAGATCTCAAACGCTCTTTGAAGGTTTGGGCAGTCGTCACCCTTATTCAGAAACCGGTCAAACCAATTCATCAATATTCCCTGCTGTTGCAGCAATGGTAGGGTAAGTATCGTCTGGCTGAGACCATCTTCCACTAGCTTCTTGTCTACACTCCTCGATGCCCTTCTCATCCACCCGAAGTCCTCGTAAAGAGCTTCCAGCCAAGTGGATAGCAACCCAAACCGAGTCTCCTTCTGCACCAAAATCTGTCCTCTTCCAATTGCAATGCACAACTGTGCTGTCACCTTGCTGATCTCGTGTCGATACATTGTTGGAATCTTCGAATGAAGTGATGCTAGTTCCTTCTGGTCTGCCCATAACTGCACAAAGTTGTCTCCCAACTTCTTACCAATCAGAATTTCAACAATCCACTGCAAGTTCTCTGCTTCTCGAGCTATTTCACTCATTATACCCCCTCGGTCGTGATTCTGGCTAATGTCATCATCAACACATGTGACTTCGGATAAGGTTAGGGTCAGACAGGTGATGCACTGCTGGCAGAGAGAGTAGAGTGCGGCTTTGGAAACATCTAGTTTGTTATTAGTATGGTCGTGATCAGATGATGATGACGAATCTTCTCGAAATAATCGGGAGAGAAGAGCTTTCATTTCTCTACGAGCTTTCTCGTCCTTCGATTGGAGGACGCCATTGAGCAGTTTTGAGAAGATGTCATCAGCTGCTGCTGTGGCGGAAGTAGATGGTTCAGATGATGACACTCTCTGGAGAAGAGATTCAGTGGCCGAATCGATTAGGTCGAGCTCAGAAAGATCTGATATGACCTTTTCTTCTTCGTCCTCTGACCAAGGAACAGCTTCCAGATACTCCAGGCATGATGCAATTCCCGCCTCAAACTTTATGGCCGCACAAACCTGGAGAAGATGATATACTCTCTAATGTAAGAACCACTTCTAGCAACTGAAACCCAAGGAGATGAATAATAATCCATTTCAAACATAAACGGCTGTGAATCTACTTAGACTTCCTAATCCAGCTATAATAAGATAACTCAGTCAATACCAATTTTCAAACCTAATACAGAACGACCCAACTGTAATTCCTGATCCACTTAGGACAGAATCGAGAGTGAAGTTTTCATTCTGTACGACACTCTCACTAAGTTGACTGGTCCCATTAGAAATCCTAATCCAGTAAGGCCTCCTAATTTCCTACCACAAATTCATATTCCAACCTGCAGTAGAATCCCAGATCAAAACCCCCCATTCCCTTTTTTCTCTAGAACCAAACCAATTGTGCTGAAGATAACAAAATAGCCAAATCGCCGCCGAAAGCATATGATCCACTGAACCAGGAAACGAGATAGATAAATAAGAAGCAAAAAGAACTCCAATGTTGAATACCTTGAGCAGAGCCAAGGCCTTGGAGACTCCCACCCCTACCAATCTCTTCTTGAGGTCATCACAGTACATGAAGACCAAAGCTTCCAAGTAAATCTCCACATCATCGCACTCGCTAATCTCAACGGAATGCATGGCCCCTTTCTCCTTTCCTTTCAGATTCTCCCTGAAAAAGACGCTCTTCTCCATCAGAACCTTCTTGTGCACATCGATGGAGACCTTATACCCTTCTCTCCCGACCACCGTCAGCCTCACATCCCCCATTCCCATTCCGAACCCATTGAAGCTCTCGAACTCCCTGAGTATCTTGGAGACTTTCGATTGCGACTTCTGCCGGAACTGCTCCAGCGCCTGCTCCTCCGACATCATCTGGAACAGCGTCGGGTGCTGACTCGGCCGAGCACCCGCCGCGTTGTGCGTACTAGTTGTTGTTGTTGGTTGTGGTTGCGCCGGTGGTGGCGAATCTGTGGTGGCGAAGCTGGGCGGCGGAGAGAGTAGGGTCTTGAAGTTCGGGGAGCCCAAAACCCTAGCCAGTACGGCTGCGGTGGCGGCCGGCGTCCTGGAGGGAGAGAAAGACGAAAGCGCCGGATCGGAAATGAAGCCTTGTCTTATCATTGCGGAGACCTCTCTGGACGCCGCCATTGATTGAGATTTGAAAGTTGGAAACCCGCCCGATTTTCGATTCCGTCGTCGTCTCGTCGGAGTGGCAAGATAAGAGCAGACTGGTGAATTTTCCCGGGAGATTTTTCTGCCGAGTCTTCTCCTTTATTTTGCGGGAAAGTTTTTCAACTTTTGAGGTTTTTTGGTGGACTGGACTGCCTGGCTGACTCAGAAAAGGAAAAAGGATCCGAGAGACGGTCGTATTACCGGTTTATTGTTTGTTTATATTAAAAAAGGAAGGTGGGAAATTTATAATTAACTTCAATATTTTATTAATTCTGTAGTGGTTGGTGCACGTTCCGTCACGTGACTCATGTCTATGCTGTGTTAATTTCGATTAAGCCCCTGGAGTTAATTGAATTACAAATGAGTATTTTTTTGGTTGGTGAAGTAATTTTTCTAGTTTCCGCTAGGGTTGGCTATTTGGTCCGTAGTGTTTGGTTTTATCCGAAACCGGACTATATAATCCGGTCTGGAACCCTTCTGGGATCGGATAGCAAACAATCCAATCTCATATTCGGGCTTAGATTTGAGGTAAAAAACCGGATAAGAGACTCCAACACTCGAATCCCGGACTGGATCAAAACCGCACTGTATCCAATCCAATTTTTGGTCCTTATATTCCTGAAAATACCGGACTAAGACCGGATCAATTTGGTCTAATTTAACCGGACCGGACCGTCTAGCCACCCCTAGTTTCCACTAGAAAAAAAAATGATACTAGTAGAGGTTGTATTGATTGAGAAATTATTTGCCTTCAACTAGGAAGTAGGAAGTGCACCTTATTTTTTATTGTTACATAGATCGATCAGATATTGATTTTCGTATATTGATTGAGAAATTATTTGCCTTCAACTAGGAAGTAGGAAGTGCACCTTATTCTTTATTGTTACATAGACCGATCAGATCCTTCTCTCGGATCCTTTTTCCTTTTCTGATTTTTGTATGACATGTTTTGTATTTTCAAGAATCAATTAAAACTTCATTCTCTATTTCTAATGGGACCAGGTAACCTTTGCACTTATTAAACAGAAGTGGCCATTTTATACAATTTCAAACTTTTGCTACAGTATCGTTACAAATTAAAGATTTGTGACCGTTTTATGCTAAGTGCAAAGATTTAGCACCATTTATGCGAATTCTTATTAATCTGGAACCAAAGAAGCTGATCTGGCAAAGTAAGAGAGTTGATGGGCTAAATAATACTGCTGCTGAGAGTTATGGTGGCCTAATTAACTGGGGAATCAATAATTATCGTTGCAAAATTTGGAGAATAGAGACAAGATGCAGCTCGCTGGATTGGTCTGGCTGGCCTTGGTGTTTGTTTGCTGTCACTGAAAGATTCTTTCAGATGAAATTTCACAGCGAATGAATCACTATGGGACAATGGGTGACAATAAGATTTGAGTAAATCTAAATATTGAACTCATTCAAGATTCAACCTCTTCCTACAAGATGTTGCTCGATCCTTTCGTCTCTCTGACTGCCTTACTGTCTGAATGTTTAGCAGCTCTGCCTGTCATCAATAATGTTGCTATATCTACTAGGATGCTCCATCCATGGTGATACCATCAATCGACGACTAAGAACAAAGATGTGACGGAAGGAAGAACGACGGAAGCCAAATGTGCAGGATGGCATAGCAAGCAAGCAATGCAATGGAATGGAGGCAGAGCTAGGGGCTATCTGTGAGGTTACAACAAGTTGGACTGGTTGCAACTATCTGTTGCCATGGCATGATGACTTAAAGGGCACAGAAATAAGCTAGTCAGAGTTCAAGTTCATGAAAGCATTTACTAGTAAGGGCCGTTTGTAACAAGACCATTAGGAAGAGGAAAGAAAAGAAACACCAAGTTTACATTGCAGAACAGCAAAAATTCCCAAATAACACCCTCAACACAGACATTACACAACATTGTGATACAATAAGACTCGTAAAAAAAAGATACAATAAGACAGCTTCCCAAAACCTTAATTCATCAAAAAATAACTGTAAAGTTTCCTGATACCGTGTGAAACACACAATTGAACGGTTACAACGAAACCATAAGATCTTCAACTCCGACAGCATCTTCCAGCCTCAAAATACCTCTTCAGAAAACATTTGCTTGGAGGTCTTGTAGTTCAGGGTCAATGATTGCAGCATCTTTCTCTGCTTCGCTCCCGAATAGTGGAGCCTCAAGCTTAGGTGAGTCCTGGCAGCCAGGGATGAGAATTCAGTGAGCAAAGGATATCTAAGGAGATGGACTTTAGCAAGACTTGGAATGTGCAAGGAGAAACTAATTTACAGAGTGGATCTTCTGGAGTCCACACTAATCCTATGAGTTAATAAAGTTAGTTGTAGTGGTGAAGGCTGAAGACAGTAACAAATTAAGCTATCATCTTACCATGCAGCGGACAAGTGCCCAGTTCATGCCCTTGAAGAATGGATGCCTCTTGATTTCACTAGCTCCTTCGCGAGATCCTAATCTGTGCTTAGCATCTCTATGCAACAATCGGTACATCAGTTGCTTAGCATGGAGACTAACCTGCATGGTGACATTCGTCGTTATTGGTAAACAAAGGCATTTCCAAGGAAAATACTTTAGCCAGTTAGTGTTCTATTCGATGACATATGCTCATGAGCAATACACAACAGGCAGCCAAACAGAGAGAATGATGTTTTGGAGAGATTAAAAATTCTCTCACCGGAATACTTGCTGGGAACTTGAGGTCCTTGTGAAGGATATTGGCAAATGTCTTTTGCCTCGTCTTACCCCTGAAAGGGGTGTATCCATAGAACATTTCATACAGCAGAATTCCTGAGGAAGGAACGATGGGGAGTTAAATAGCCAGAAAACTTGATGGTAGGATACTGTCGATGCCTAGATGATGCACAAGCAATCACAGACTTCCAGCATACAAGAAAAGCCATAAAATTCAAGGATGAGAGTAATTACCAAGAGCCCACCAATCTACTGCGCTGGTATGGCCTGCTGCACTAATAATTTCCTGTAAGAGAATAACAAGGCAATGTGGAAACATTACTGAAGGCCTTAGATACAGATAAACTGCGTGAACCATGCACTGAATTTTAGATATCAATACCTATGTATGAAAGGACCTCATAAGATGATTTAAGATCAAGCTAGTAAAATACACTTGAAATACCAAAGGTTCTTTAAACATGCGGGTGAAATTTGCTACAAAGTTAAGAGTGCAGTTTGGGAATGAACAAACCGGAGCTATGTACTCTTCGGTTCCAACAAAGGAATTGGATGCCCGCATTGGTTCAGCCATGAATATTGGATCTTGGTTGTGCCTGCTTCTCTTTCTCTTTTCGTTGCTACTTGGAAGAAGCAGCTGAAAGAGGAAGCATTAACACACATGTATGATTAGTTAGCATCCACGGACTAAATATGGTGTAAAGGGCAGCGTGAGACCACCAACTTACTTGTGGCTTGCATGATGTCAAACATGATAGGTCAAAGTCAGTCAAGGCAATATGGCCATTTCCTTGGAGTAAAACGTTCTCAGGCTTTAAGTCCCTGTAAATGACTCCTGCAAAGGGAACCCAGAAGATAGAATTGCCATCAGACCTGATATCCTGAACATGTCATCTAATCTATTTACATTTGATCCAGCAGGGTGTCAGGAAAATAACCATATAATAGAGTCTACCTTGGCAATGGAGATATTCCAATGCAACAATTACCTCTGCAGCATAGAACCTATAATCATGAAATTTACGAGTCAGATGTATTGAATTACAAAATATTATCCAACAGGTTGTTTGGGTTAGGAGAACTCATGAGGGTAAGATTTGCAAAATAGTAGGAGACTGAACGATATATCATTCCTATTGACACTTTAAATGAATTAGGGTGCATTTGAAATAGCAGACACAATCGTACTATAGGAAAGTTGGATTTTGACTGATACATCTAACATAATTGCTTGCAATATGGAAAGTATGAGATAAATCAGTTTACCAGTATGCCAAGCCAAACAATATCACTAGTATTACTAATTGTGGTCATCCAAAGACACAAATACAGACAAGAGCTTTTGGGTTTACCTTACAGCATCTTCCTTCAGCACCTTCAATGGCTGTCTGTCCAAAAGAACAAAGAGCTCTCCACCCGGGCAGTAATCCGTTATCAGACAAATATGTGTTTTTGTCTGAGTCGTATGAAAAAAAGGATGTCAACTAAAATTTCAACCATTTCAGAATTTTTCATAAAACTGTATCAACTATATTGATCTTGGTATTTTCATTTGCGTGACAAACAAATTTAATTCCAGATTAAGTAAAGGGACAAGTCATCTCATTATCTGACCTGAAAGGAAGCATACAAAGCAGGAAGAAAAGGGTGGTCCAACATGTCAAGTATTTCTCTTTCTGCACAAGCTCTATGCACCTGTGTCAAAGCAACATGAGCCGTTAGAATGCACGGGGGGTGAAATTTTCACTTATTCCGTGGAAGTTGAAGTGAAGGCTTCTAAATCAGGAAAGGTTTAACCCAAAGGATTGACTTAACAGATACAGGGATGAACAACATTCATCCATGCTGATTCCGATCATTTAACTATCAGGAGAAGACATAGGAGACAGTACTAAATCAGACAACTATGAAACATTAAATTCTAGTACCTTATTCCTGTTGAGCATAACATTTTTGTCCATAGCTTTCATGGCAAAGAACAAGCCAGTTCCACAAAGTTCTACCAAGTGGACACTGCCAAAATATATGAATAAAAATCATATCCTTGCCTCGTTGCAGTAAGCAATGAACAGTGTGAAAATTAAGCATTTATTAGGATATCGTTGTCATGTGCCGAAACATAATAACATGACTTGCTTAGAAGCCGTTCAGTCATAACAAATACAATATCTTCTTAGATGCGTTTGGTTCAAAATTCAACAGACTCCCCAGAAACATATATCAAAAAAGCTTTAAGTTGAGTGTCCAGAAGTGTGATTGTGAATTAATTATAACCTAAATCCTACAAGGTTGCAATTTTGTGGTTAAAAACAACAGAAATGCAAGAACAAGTTCAGAGAAAATTGAAAAAGGTACACCCACCTCCCAGTGTCACCAGATCCCAGGGGCTTCACTGGCCTAAAATGCTTTAGGCCTATCTGTTCTCCGCTATCTTGAATCTGCAATTTACATAAGAAAATTCTATGAGATAAGATCCCGAGGTGCATGACTAGACAATTGTCAACCAAGAAAGGAAATTCATATGAGTTGACGCTGCTTCAAACTTAGAAAGTGGTTAAGGCTATGCACCGAAATGTATCACAATTTTAGGAACACTGCAGAATTGTAATTAACAAGCCACTGTAGATAGATGATAATAGTTGCAGTTCTCAGATGACTTGTTCTCCATTTCTCCAGGATTCAATTTTGCATGTGCAGAAAAATCACCTTCTGAATGGCTTCCCAGTTAGGAGTATTCTTCCTATGTGGTTTTGGAAGCACAAGCTTTGAATGATTAGCCCATAAATCTTCTGGTGTCTGCAGTTAATAAAATGTGTTATGTTAGACATTCACAACAAAAAGGGAGCTGCTTTGGAACTGTACATTAGCATCCGGAGACATTTACCAAATTAGCATCTGGAAGTTCCCTGGCTGCCACACCAACATTTTCTGCTGTTTCTTTCACCTGAAAGTAGAAAAAACATCCAAGTCACAAATTAGAATAGTTACAAGCTCTAGAGAGGACTACTCACACTGACTAAAATGAACTTTGCTGTAAACAGAGCTAAATGATGATAAGTCTAAAGTATCAATACCAATTTTTCGCCTTCTTTCGCAACATCCTTGGCAATAGAGTTATTCTGTGGCTCAACATGCTCACTGCCATCTAATTGAACCCCAATGAAGTATTGCACTTCTCCCTGTTCACAAAAGCTAAAACTTGAAACCAACGTTCCTTTTCCCATTGATAAAAAAAGGATATGTATGCTTTCATCTAGATCATATTTAGAAGCAAAGTTTTTTTTTTTTTTTTGGCAATCTGAATCTGCAAAGCACCATACCTTTAGATCACGCATAGGCTGCAGATGGAAAAGATTCCAGAACTTCTTGCCTGAATTAAGTAAAACAGAGATAACTACTTAAGTACCCTAGACTGAAGACTATAATGCTCGCTTCAAGAATAGTTACCATATAAGATAACAATATAGGCATACCAGTTTTCGTGTAGTTGATCAACTGCACTGTAACTTCTGTCTGATTATGAATCGCATCCCTTATTTTCATCACAGTCGCTGGATCAGTCTCGGGTCCTTGCAAAAACCTACACAATAACAAGCATAAGAAAAAGTAATAAGGTACGTAAAAAGTTACATTTCCAAGTTAGTCATGCAGTGAGGCATACCGACAATTTCTTCCCAAAATTTCTTCACGGCTGTATTCTGTCAACTCTAAGAAGCTATCAGAGGCAAAGATCTGAAAAATAATTCAAAAGATGAGCATAATACATCCAATATCCAAAAAGTGGAAAATTCAGAGATAATGAGGAAAACCATGAAATAGTATATGAGACATTACGATGGGATTGTCTGGTAGCCTTGGATCTGTAATCACGAAGTTCTTCTCTATACGCTCAAGGGTGGTAGCAAGATCGATACCCTTTCTCATTTCCTTCTTCCTTACTTTGTCATCTAAGCTATCAGGCCTAGCATCATCATCATCATAATCACTGAGCTCTTCATCAAGATCATCAGCATATTTCTCATCAAAGCTATCAGCAGTGGATTGCATACTTTTTCTCCTGAAACTGAATTGGTGAATACAAGTTAGACATATATTACATTTGTACCTACGGCTAAAAATTTCTATGGGGGGAAAAGAATAAGCCAATACCCCATGAAAGAACGACGGGAGGATTTCTTTTGTTTCTTCTCTGGTAACTCACTGATACTCTGCATCGAGTTTCGCCTATCTCCATGAGAGTTGCGTCTTTCAGAAGCCACACTCTCTGAATTCCGCCTTCCTGTGGCTGCAACCCTTTTTTTCTCCTCTTCATCACCTCCACCACTACTCTCTGATTTTCTGAATAGAGGGCGGTTCTTTGATTCACTACGTGCACGGGGTCTCTTGACAGCTTCAACAATTTCAGTTACTGAACTTACAGCAAGCTCCTTTTGACGTGCTGCACAACAAAACAAAAAGCACATATTATGTATGACTCCTTGCGGATCTATACCAGGTTTTGATTCATGGATTCAATTAAGTCCATTTCTAAATGCAATAGCCTAAACCGGTGTCTATCTGTGAACTATGCAGCAGAGAGGAAGATTTATTACTGTTTTTCAACCCCAATGAAGAAAATGCTACTAGGATAATGGAGAAATAGCAGTAGAGCATGTTGGCAGTATTATGTCATCAATCCCTCTCATATCTCGTAGACCAACAAAATATTATTAGTGTAGTCAATTTCAAGTCAAATTCTAAGTCAACATGCTGGTAAATTTCCCAGATGTTGCCACTTAATTTCCACACATGATTTAGACATATTGTAGACCATTGAGTGAAAATTTGAGTTTCTATAGCTTAACAGGTAATCTTTGTATTCTGTTGTACTCGGGCGAACCCTGTTAGCTATAAGTTGCAATGGTTTACGGATTGGAACGCAGAACACTTAAAACAATAGTCCAGTTGGCAGCAGTGATTCAATGGGTAAAACTATCTGATCCTCCCAAACTTAAAACTCTCTGCTTTAGTAATAAGATAGGTATGAAGTACCATCATATCGAATCAAAGATTCAGGCAATCCATTGGGACGCAGCATCTTTTCCTTGGACCCCTCAGTGAACTTGCTGACTTCCACCTGCATTCTGCCAAATCACCAGACAGCGAAAGCCAAAAAAATAAATCAGAAAAACGTAAAGGGAAACGTGGCCACACTCATTTACAGCCAGTATAATGTGACACAATCCTAATCAAGCCAGAAAAGTTGCCCCCTGCAAATTTCTATCTCCTGCCTATCTTCATCCACATTTGTGGCCTGTGGGTCACTGTCCAGCATTTGCATTGGGTGATTGCTAAGTCGAGACTTCACTCGATCACCCCCAAAAGAAAAGAAGAAAAAGCCTGCAATTATTTGAGGTGACACTGAAATTTGGACAGTAGCTGCAAGCTGGTAAACTTTCTTTTCTGGTTCCGTGTTATGGTATGGGACTCTGAAGGGTCTGGATGGTCAGTTCCTCCATGTGGTATGTTGTTGTAGGACACTCATCAATGTCGCTAACACAGTTCTACCCACCCCTATTTCCAATTCACTTCATTATTCGTTGGCCTGGCCTAAGGATGATGGGCAGGCAGGCATTCATTGCTATCTTGCCTGGAGAAACGACAACTACTTTCCAAAAAGATCAACCTTTTTTGTTCTCACTTATAGTATGAGTACCAAGAACGTGCTTTCCTTCCATCAAAGCTAAAAAGCAAGCAGCTTTCCTCCATTCCAGGGCATTTCACAGACAACCCATCACTTCGTTTTCCTTCCCCATTCACAATTCATCAGAAAGTAAACAAATTGGTATACTCTACCATTCATCGGAAAGTAAACAAATTGGTAAACTCTACTGAAGAAGTAAGGCTGGACTGGAAGGAGTAAAAAGTTGCTAGTTAAAACTAACCCAATGAATTTGAGAACTTTGCCATCGTCGTCTTTGATGGGAGTAACAGTGAGAAGGTTCCAAAATGGCGTCCCATCTTTCTTGTAATTCAGCAGCCTCCCGCAGTAACTTCCCCCATTCTGCAGCGACTCCCTGATTTTGGCTACATCTTCCGGGTCAGTACCCGATCCTTGTAGAAACCGGCTGTAAACCACAACCCGCAAAGAAAAGGTCAACAAATTGTCAAGCTGGTTCGTCAGCAGTACAGTGACAAGAGTGAAAAAGCAAATTAATTACCAGTTCCTGCCAACCACTTCTTTGGAAGTGTAACCGGTCATCTTGAAGAACCCTTCGCTGGCGTACAGGATCGGGTAATCGGGTTTGGTAGCATCCGAGACCACAAACGTTTGCTGGAACGAGGACAGAGCAGCTTTTATGTCTTCCGACACCCTGGGGATTCCTCCTCTGTTCTCCTTACCCCCGTCGTCGGAGTATTCGCCGGAGCTCCGCGCGGAATTGCCGGAGTTCCTCCTCGAAGCTTTGCTGCCGGCCGGGTCGTCCCCGCCCGAGCTCCGAACCGAGACTCCTTGGGGTTTGCCCGTCTCGTCGTCGGTTTTCAGGACTAGCCCCCATTCTGCCGCCCTTTTGGCTGCCGCGCCGACTCCGCTGCCGCCGGCGCCAGTGCGGGCGGGCGTTGTGGTGGGCGGCGGGTTTGGGGCCGGGTCCTTGAGGGCCATCCATGAGGTTATCTCCGGGGCCTGAACTGGTTCGGAGGGTGGTTCGGGTCCGGCAGCGCTGTCACGTGGACCAGTCAGGGTTTGCCAAGTGGAGGTGGGGCGGAAGGTCGGGTTAGTGGGTCGGGTTGAGAATGTGGACGGGTTGAAGACTTCGAGTGAACCGCGAGAGTCTCTGGGCGGCGGTGGTTGATTTTCCGGTTTCCCCATTCCTGCAAATATATTAATTAAATTACTCATCCAAGCAGGGAAAAATCAAATTCTTTTTTCGTATAAAAAAGAACCACATAATCCCTCTAAAATAATTGGTGGCCTAATTATCAAAAGTATTATAGAAAATATAATTAATCAGATTCAAACTCTAAACTGTTAGCACATACGGTATGAAAGTAATTTAGAATGACTTACGTACAAAGTACGAGTGAACCACGAGTGAACAATGTATATAACTAAATTAGCCATAATTTTAACCAATAGACTATGAATTATCACATTTATATATCTGTTTATAATCATATTCCTCAGATGACATAATACACAAACTGTTTATTTTTTTCGTTGAAGAATCATAATATACAAACTGAGTAGAAATACCATTAATATTTGAATCACATTGTTCAGATAGAGAACGTACACTAGTTTTGCATTTATGCAACATAAATTTGTTGAAAAAGTGTAGAGGAAGGGAGAGAAAAAAAAATATAGTACCCACCACCAACAAGTCAATCTCTCTTGTTATCAAGAAAAGAAAAAAAAATTTGAAATCGTATCAAGAAGTGGAGAGGAAAGGGATGGTTCAACTTGGAAAATGTGGTGGTTAGGATAAACACTTAAAATAATTAATACGAAAACAGCTGGTAGGGTATGTGAACCACCTTACTACAGTTACGTCCATTTAGGTAGCAATTGTAAATGATCGATGAAAATGAGGTATCTTATCTATCTGGTGCTAGCTCGCTGCTGCGTCTTTCACTATCATATCACACCTCGCTCCAATGGCGACTTCTCCTTCCTCCGAGCTAGTGGGGATCGATCCACTTAATTTCGAAAGCAATTGGTCGACTGATATTTATTTATCCTGTATGTATATAATCGAACTTCTCCCATTTGTATGAATAAAGACTAAATATCTGAACTAATAATAGATTTAATTTCATATTAATTAGTGATCAATATTCTACATTCTACTGAAGTAAAAAAACATAACACACAGTATAGCAATCGTCAGTGAAGTCTGCATTATTGGGTAGGGGATCGGTTTTTAGTCATTTGGTCCATTGAATTAACATGCAAGCAGCAGCAATGTTAAGAGTACATCGGGGAAATTAAGAGGAAGAAAACATTTAGAGAAGTTTGGTTGCTGACTTTGGGAAGGGGAAAAAAAAGACGAAGATTGTGATTTATAGCTAGGACGTGCAGAGAGAGAGAGAGAGAGGTAATTAATCAGAAGTAGCAAATAAGCAAGTTAGAAGAAAGAAGAAGAAGACGGACCTGGAAATAAATTCTTGGGGAGCGAAGGTAGGAGATAGTTGCGCTATTGGGGGATTCTTGGTCTTCTTCTTCTTCTTCTTGGGTTTGAGTGAAAAATTGGGGAGGAGGAGTTGCGGTATTTATATAGGTATGCAAACTAGGCTAGTAGAGCAAGAAACGGCGGCCAATCGAGAATTATTGTGGCGGAATGAATGATGATGAAGAACACGGCGCCCATGCCTGATCGATCATGCACAGCCACAGCCACAGCCTATCTTCTTGTTGCCCGGCCACATGGGACATATGGGCTCTCTCTTATGAAATATGAATGGAACATGGATCTCCCTTCTTCCTCATCGGATCCTGATCGCCCCCAAATATTCCCCTCCTCCTACGTTTCCATCCTTGTCTGTCGACGCTAGCTTCTGCAAATTCCCTCCTAAATCTTCAATCAATCGGCTCTCAATACAATAATGCTTCTTAATATAATGGGGGGGAAAAGAAAACTGATCTGGTCTCTCTCCTGATATGGGCTCTGCCTGCCTGCCTGCAGGAGGGGCCAGAAAGTAGGAAACGAAACAAGAGCTGGTTTTCTTTCTCTCTTCTCTCTCTCTCTCTCTCTCTATCAATATGTATGTATGTATGTTTATGTTATGTGTATACATGCACGCACAGGCACAGCGGAAAGGAACAAGGATGTATATAACTAGCCAGGCTAGCCAGTGGATGTTTCTGTTGAGAACCCACGTTGGTAATTTGGACTCTCTCCCGACCGCCACTCATGTTCTCTGATCTCTCCATCTCTACCTCTCTCTCTCTCTCTTATGGAAATGGCGGGAGCGGGACCATGTCCATGACCATGCATGCCCACCTATCTATGGGGAAGAAAAGAAATATCTATCCAACTTTTGCTAGCTATCATCATCTTCTTTCAAACACATCCCCAACTCTTTTACATCACCTAGCTTCTTAATTGAAAATCTACGGTTGATGTAAAACCTTACAAAGAAAGAACTCCTTTTTTTTTTCTTGATGTGGTTAAGATTTTCCCTTCCCAACTATCAATCCTACGCGCTCCATGCACATGTATTGATGAGCTAAAGATGGAGTGAAATGAGTAGTTAGCTACTTAGACCTTTTTTGGTGCTTTGAGGAGAAACATATACTGTAACACCCTGTACATTTTACCTAATTATATTGTTAATACATTTGCAGCGAAAATAATCAAGGGTGTTACATTAATTATTACAATTTACCCAAATAAATTTCGATATAAATTACTCGTGTAATGGGCTAACAGTTCTTGCAACTTATCGTGCCAAATTATTCATCTGAATCCATGCATTCTTAGACATACATATATACTCATAACCATATACATTGACTTTGATAGCCATAGTCACAGTTTCATACTCCACAACAGCATACCTTACTAATACATGTCATAGTCGTCACAACTTACACAACCATACAAATATATACATATCAACTTTCCACACCTGTGGATATCTCACACTACATCAGAAGATAGCATGCACATGAAAAACGTTCTCAAAACATTTTTACAAAAAGGTGTGGATCACTAGCCAAAATCCCATGTAGTCGTCCAAGCATAGAATAGTTGAAGACAATAACTCATTCTGCCTTCAACTCCTCGCTCTGCTCACACTTATGTACTTGCAACTGCTACTGCTACTAATGATTTGCTTACACATAGCATAAGCAGAGGAAAAGAATAAAAGAGGGTCAGCTCATAGCTGAGTGAGATAATCATAGCATCGTGAGTTCATAACAAAGCATACCCCTACCATACATCTAGCAATCAAGCCAAAACACTAGGATCGGACCTCAGCCATTGATAGACCATTGATCACACATGTTTTTAACCCCTATTCTTGAGCCGTTTGAGATGTTGATTCTCGTGTTTTAAGTCGATTTTCACGCTAGGTTGTGCGTTTATGTCATATTTCAGGACGTAGCGTTGGCATCGAGGCAAAGAAACGAGTTTTGGGTCGAAAGGAGCATGTTTGGGTCGAAGTGTGTTGGAGGAGAAAAATACCCGGCCATGAGCAGAAATACCCGGCCAGGTATTATTTGGAGCAGACCGGGGAAAATGCGTTTTGGACCTTTGAGAAGCAGAAGGGGGCCCGGTCGTGAGGCTTAAATCCCCGTTCGGGGATTCTTGGCCTTGACCGGGGATTTTCCCCTGTTACCCGACGGTGCGTTTTGAAGATACCCGTTCGCCACCCAAAATACCCGATCGGGTATTCAGGCTGGGGATCGTGACAGACAGCCTCTTAAGGGAAAAGAAGGGCAAAAGAGAAAGGGTTCCGAGTTTTATAGAGAAAAAGCGATACCTAGAGAGAGAAAGTGACGAACCTGATTCTGCAAGTGTCCTTGATCGATCTCCAGCACCATTTGAGCACGGCTTGAGCTTGGAGAAGAGTTGATTGAGTGCCAGAAGCAGATTCTCATCCTTCACAGTATGGTTTCCGCATCTTAGCTAGATTTCCCATCTCTCTCTGTGGAGTAACTTTCTTATTCAACTGGGTATGAAGAACCCTAGATTTGTATGTTAGGTCTGATTGTATGAACCCAAGTACAGATTCAGTAGTATGATTATGTTTAATTGAGGTTTGATTTGTTGAATGGCATGAATCCTGATCAAATTCCTATTGTTTCTGCTTTAACCTAGAAAGAGAATATCTGCCTAGGTTGATAGAGCACCCTTGATTGAAGGTAGTGAATTGACGACTTTAGTCGAGGAGTTAATTCACTATTCTGTACCTAATTTACTTCGGTAGTGGAGGTTTGGTTCGTTAGGGCCTTAATCTGTTTACTCCGGTGGAGGTTAGTCGCCCGCTGGAGAATCAGATTGAGAGGGTCTGGAGACCTTTAGTCGAGACTGCAAACTGTTTAAGAACCTCCCGCAGTATAACTATCATTGAAATTGAACTTGGTAAATTACAATCCGGCTTAACTGCAGTCTAGGGGGAACCATATCCGGGTGACCTCTCTCGACTTGAAAACAACCTTTTAACTGCTTTGCCTGTTTGCTTGTTTGGACCTTCACTAAAGTTTCACTGCTAAATAATAAGAACTCACGGAGTAGTCATCACATCTAGGACCCGGGTTGACATTAAAACCCAAACCCGCTATACTACGCTTTAGGAGGTGGTTACACTTGGCCATTCTCTAGAGTGACGGTAGAAGCTAGTCAGCCATCCGACATCCCAATAGGCAAAAGCTTCAACCATCTTGACTTATGCATATGCATCTTATCATGTTTTAATCATAGGCGCCTGGCTACTCCCATGCTAATAACTCTCCCGGGAAACATACCCCACATCCCGTCGGATGTAGTCATACATACCCCAACATCTCGTCGGATGTGGTCATACATACCCCACACCACTATGGGTGTAGTCATACCCCGACACCACTCTGGGTGCGGTCATATCTCGTAAGAAATCTTCAGTCACCACCACATGAGAGGTGTGACTATCATACATATCATAATAGAGTAATAGCATAGGGAGCCCTAATTACTATGTAGTTGACCGTGAGACCACAACACTCATATTTGGTATCCTTTTACATGATTCATATCTCATCTTGCTTAATCATAATTCATTACTTGCACATGTACTTGACCTGGCCATAATTGGCTCAACATAGGTAAATCAAGAGTCGTATAATTGCACTTGCTCGGGATAAACCCTTGTGCAAGTCATCCTCCTTAAACATCATAATATCACCCTGGGAAGTTTATTTCCCCCACTTGGGAATCCAAATACAACCACAATATCACATCATGTCAAAACACCTGATCGAACAACCATGAAGTCATATCAACGGTTAAGACACAAATGACAACATGTATGCAATCATCAACATTAACAAGGTCCATATCGGCGGACTTTTTCCAAAAATACCACTATTTAAAAAAAGAATTCCAAAAATACCACTCAACCCCAAAAAATTCCAAAAATACCACCTTTTTCAGAAATCGCCACCCCACCCTACGGTTTACACGAAAACCGCTGGGGCGGGGGCGCGGTTTTCTATGCAAACCGCGGGCCTAGGGGGCGGTTATAAAAAAAAAATTGGACCAAACTGCTGGGTGGGGTGGCGGTTTGGCCCAAAACCGCTACCCCACCCAGCGGTTTGGTCCAAATTTTTTTTTTTATCAACTCCCAACTTCGGCCGAAATTTCAAACGAACGTAACTTTGCACTCGGGTATCCGAATCGTAGCGATTTTTTTTTTATTTCGCATAACTTTTCAAGATCTACAACTTTTACTAGGATGAAATTTTCAAAACAGTAATTAGTTGTGGATATACGGGACCTTGGGAATAAATTTACCTTTACTTTTCACAAATCCATATATATTTTGAAATTATGATTATGTTAAAAGTTGTAGATCTTGAAAAGTTATGCGGAATCAAAAAAAATTTCATGACGTTGGATTTTGGAGCACAAAGTTATGGCCGCCCATAGTTTGACGAAAGGCGAGACCCGGCGTTTTGCGGCTTTTAAGATCTCAAAAAGTTTGCGGCCTCCATTTTTTGAATCCGAAAAACTTTTTGAGATCTTGCAAGCCACAAACCGCCGGGTCCCGCCTTCGTCTCGAAAAAACGTCATTTGCCACCCCGAACGAGCCTTTTTTTTATTTCGTCAAACTTTGGGCGGCCATAACTTTGTTCTCCAAAATCCGAACGTCATGAATTTTTTTTTTATTCCGCATAAATTTTCAAGATCTACAACTTTTACCATAATCATAATTTCAAAATGTACATGGATTTGTGAAAAGTAAAGGTAAAGTTATTCCAAGGTCCCGTATATCCACAACTAATTCCTGTTTTGAAATTTTCATTTAGTAAAAGTTGTAGATCTTGAAAAGTTATGCGAAATGAAAAAAAATCGCTATGATCGGATACCCGAGTGCAAAGTTACGTTCGTTTGAAGTTTCGGCCGAAGTTGGGAGTTGATCGAAAAAAGAAAAAAAAATTTGGACCAAACCGCTGGGTGGGGTGGCGGTTTTGAGCCAAACCGCCACCCCACCCAGCAGTTTGGTCTAATTTTTTTTTATAACCGCCCCCTAGGCCCGCGGTTTGCATAGAAAACCGCGCCCCCGCCCAGCGATTTTCGTGTAAACCGCAGGGTGGGGTGACGGTTTTTGAAAAAGGTGGTATTTTTGGAATTTTTTGGGGTTAGGTGGTATTTTTGGAATTCTTTTTTTAAACAGTGGTACAATTGGATTTTTTCCCATATCGGCTAGGGCAAGTCAATAATATCATACAACAATCCATGGTTCATCATATAGCATAAAAGTTCATACACCCCTAATCATGACATTCTAATTCACCTAGGTCAATTCTAAGCATCAATATAATTATCGTGATACGACAAACCCGGTATGCCGTGCTAATCCCTCACCAGTTCTGGTCGTTCAAACACCGGTTTAACCTTCCCGTACTAAAACGTCAATTTCACGAACGAACAACGAATTAAAATCCGAGACCGTCCTAATATCCCCTGTAGTATCCCCGTCAATATTAGTTCTAGGATCCGGGTCAAATTCTTGATAAAAACACATCAAACCTTGGCCGGAGCTAAATTCAGCGATTTGGAACCCGACCTAAATAATTGCCGAAATTCAGGGATTATAACTAGAGGATTGATTACCTCGATGCAGGAAGCTCGTATATGATTTTAAAACGCTTGATTTTAAATCGAAATACTATCAAAACGCTTGATTTTAAATCGCGAACTTTCTAGCGATCGAAATATGAGTTTAGCCGAAACGGGATGTTACCTATACTAGCTAGATATATCCAACTGCCCTGGTCTATAAGTGACAGTCTGAAAGGAGTACTATCATAGGCATTTGAGTATCTTCTGATTATCAAGTTACAAGAGGATATTTCTATTTCTCAAAACAAAGACCAAAAAATTATAATGTTATCTTTCTGTGTTTTAGAGTCATGTTAAGTAACTCAAGGGGGCATCTAGGCCCTATGTGCTTATGAAATCGGGCTTGGAGCGAGTTTACAGTGTATTAGTTGAATTAATTAGCAAAACTTAGTGTTACAAAAGAATATGTAATGTGATGGCATGCAAGGTGCAATCATTGAAATGGATACGGTTAGAGATATCAATCGTGATACAACTTCTCGGGTCTGGACCATATAGAGATGCATCTAGTTTTTCATACACGAATTTCCCCTGCGTCATTTCTCGTTAGCAAAACACCAACTCAACTAGTGTTCGACTGGCCCGCTAGAAAATGTTTTCAACCTACAAAATGAGCGCATTTTTTTGTCTAACAATGTCACCTACGTTATCCACAAAACTCTTTTATATATGTACGATATAAACTCCAAGATGAAATCTCGAGATTCATCGTCTGATGGATGTCAATTGTAACTTGGATGATAATATCTCTATGCATATACAGGTAAAACATGACCTTATAAGAAACATATGAAATTTGAGCTTTCTAATTACTTGTCTTGAAATAAATTTTCTTGAAGTCGTTGAATAATTGTTGAGTAATTTGAACATGTGTTGTATCACTCGAAAGTTAATTAGTCAATCTCTTAGACTTGAACCATATTGTTGATGATCAACACCCAACTTTGTTAGGTAATTTGATGCACATTAGTCTTTCCACAACAGTATGGTTAAACATGTTATATTACAGCATAAAAATTATATCGAAACCAAACCCATTTCCATCCTACACAAAAGTCGCCCTTCTAATTATGATTCATGTGTCGATCGATCGATATCCCCCAAGAACTTTTCACTCTCGTCAGTGGGTTTAACTTCTTGAAGCCGTCGCTCATTGAAAGAGAAAAGACCAACTTTCTTCAGTAGTAGTAATTAAACAATGTCGCTATATATGTGTGTAAGGAGAAATGAAGGGATGTGGGCACTGTCACACCTGATAGGGACTGGTTGCCACGTGAAGAAGCTCTTTGGTAGTATGGCAATGGATATCCCCCAAACGCTTATCCCTTGGTTGGGATAGGTCACAATCTGTCCTGTGACAACTATGTCCATCTAGGCCAATGCTGAATTAGAAAGGTACTAACGTTCAAAACTTCCCTTAAATATACTGTTGTGACATCTGGGTTGGTCCTTTATGGAAGACCAGCAAGGGTTGGCAACGACATTGGAGGTATATTACAGAACTTATAGTGGAAGAACAGGAAACCTACTGGAGAAATTAAGTGCAATCAATTGCTTTAATTAGTCGTTGATTAATTAGCTCACTTTCTTTTTATGTAAGCCATGATTTTGTAACTGATCACATAAGAAAAGCAAATGACGGCAGAAAACCAGTCACTAATTTATGAAGCCGGTTTTATAATTGATGGTAATTTTGTAGAAAATCGGTTCAAAGCCACCAGCAGTATTGTAAGTGCTAATTGCTTCTTCTTATAAATTTAATTTATCGGAGTGTTGATAGAGTTTAGAGTATTCTTACAAACGTGTATGTGAAAATTCCTTGTCGTAATACCCATAATATTATAGACAGTTGAGCGATTATGTATTGTATTCCAACTATATTTTATGGAAGATTTGACATTATTGTCAATATATAAATAAGATTTAATGGGTTAGAAAATGAGCCTTAGAGAAAAACAACATGATAATCAGACTATCATTAGTTCTACCTTTGCACAAACCCTAATCTAATTCCGCCAATGTAGGAGATTTTTTTAAGTATCATGATATCTTTAATATTATGAATTAGTGACACTTTCACCCTATTGTCCACTAAACAATTACCATAATAATGTATGGCGCTAGAGAAATTAGAGTAGCTGTCTGAAAAATGTCAGCTTAATATCTAATGACTAGGGCTGTTAGTCGGTGCGGTTTCGGTTTAACCGAACCGCACCGTCGGTTAGCCGAAATCGAAACATGCTCGTTTTCCTCAACCGAAGCCGACACCGATGCCATCCTCGGTTAACCGGCAACCGAAACCGTCGGTCTCGATTTGATTGGGCGGTTAGCCGAAACCGCCAGAGTCGGCCGGTTTTCGGTTTCTTGTGAAAGACTAACGTACGTGGTGAACGCGTAAAACCCTTCCCTCAGTGGAGAGAAGGTTAAAACCATGAGATTATTTTTGATTATATATGTTGCAGCGCTCTTTCAGTGATCAGATATACAAGACAAAAAAACTTGTAATGATCCGGAAAAAAGAACAAGGGTCTTATTTTATAACACTACCAATACCAAATATGGAGACCAATGTTCTGTACACAAATCCGAAATCCCTACTAATGTTCTTGGGGCTGTTGGAGACTTACATTGGTGATGGTGAATCGGTGATTGAACAGGGCAGAAGACAGCGGGAGAACAGGGCAGACGACGGCGGGATTCCGGGGCAGAAGACGGCAGCGTCGGCGACGACGACTTCTGTTGGACGACTTCTGTTCGGCGGGAGAACAGGGCAGACGACGCGAAGGTTGGGAGCGGGAGGAGTGAGGACGGCGCTGCCGCTGCGACGGCCGACGAGCTCGACGGGGACGACCGGACGAGGCGACTGGCGGGCGGCGGCGAGGGTAGGGACTAGGGATTACTGGGGAACGAAATGGGGAGGACGAGCGGCGGGTGAGGAGACTGGGGAACGAAATTTAGGTCAGGGAGGAGAGGCCTTCACCGATTTCGCCATTTAGGTCAGGGAGGAGAGGCCAAAGCCAAACGACGCTGTATTGAGGACAGGTAAGTGTGGTCGGTTTTTTGCGGTTACTTTGCACGGTTTCGGTTTTAACCGCTAACCGCTCGAATTGCCCAACGGCTGATGTTAGCCAACCGCAACCGACAATCGCAAGCAACCGACGGTTTTTGGTTGGTCAGTAAACCGACGGTTTCGGTTCGGTTTCGGTGGTAACCGAAAAACCGGAGACCGATTAACAGCCCTACTAATGACTAAATAACATCAAGTTTGGAAAAGAAAAAGGTAATCCCTTGGTCCACGTCTATAGTAAGCAACTAGTTAGCAAAACGTCTTGGTCTAACTTCTCTTGTCTCTCTTTAGAATCAAAATTGGCCACAAAGCACGCTTATAAACAAACAAAACATATTGTCTCACTTCAACAAACAAACTAATAAATACAGAAGAACCGGATGGATATATATGCAGTGGCCAGTTGGATTGAGAAGCTACGGAAGATCCACATAGACCTTCAAGTTTATGAGATCCTTGATTTATGAGAATTTTCTCTTCATTTCTTCTAGTTGCTATAATTATAACATGGAATCTGGTAACCCTAGCTAGAGATATTTTAATATCTAAAATATTAATTCTAAGACCTAAGTACATATCAAATGGACTAAAATATTAATTCTAAAGCCCAGCCCAAACTACACCGATCCAGTTCAGCTCGTTGATTGAAAACCCGCTAATGGGGCGTTAAACTTCCACTAAGTAAGTGGGCTTTATGAAACTTCTTGTCCAGTTAAAAGCCCAATTGCTAAGCAACGCAGAGACATAAGCCCGCCCAGCCCCAATTCGGTTGTCTTCTTCCCTTGGCCAACCAGGGTTGCTCTGTTCAGTTGAAACTTGAAATGGAGAAACAGATCATCGGTGGAAGGCTATACTATTATTAATTTATTATGCGTCCAAAAGTCCTGGAGAGTCATGATTGAATTTAAAAAAATTAGGTCAAAAGGGTCTAATTCAACCCGCATTTCAAGTTCGGTATTCCCTCCTGAGCCAACCCAGACCGCCAAAAACGAAAAAAAAAAAAAAAGAGAGAGATGTAAAACAGAAAAGGCAAAGAAAACATTCCCGCGATATCTCCGTCTCTCCCTAACCTCTGCCTCCCCAGTCTCTGTTTCTCCAAGATCCGAAGATTTCTCCAAACGAAATGAATTGTTACACCAATCGGCGCCGGAGCTAAAAAAACAAAACTCAGGGATAGAAAACAATTGCCCGCCGTTCAGTAAAGAGAAAATGCACGGTCTGGCAGTGAGGTTCAGGAAGTATCTGATTCTGCTCTTCAGCGTCACTCTAGTGCTCTACCTCCTCTATTACTATTACGTCACCTTCGCCTCATTGTCCACCAACGCCGCAGCCGTGGAACGCCGTTGTATCCCCGTCGAAGAACACTACGAGATCATCCGAAACATCTCCACCTCCGTCTCCAAATCCCAACAACCACTGGAGAACGCCCGCCATCACCACCTCAAGAACAAAACCGCCCCTAAAATCGAACGCCGCCCTCCTCCTCCTTCTCCTCTGCCGATATCTTGTCCTTTGTCGCCGCCGATCGGGTTCGGGACGGAGGTGAAGCACCTGGTGTTCGGCATCGCGGCATCGGCGGAGCTATGGGAGACGAGGAAAGAGTACGTGAAAGTGTGGTGGAGGCCCAGGTCGAGCCGGGCCGTAGTTTGGATGGACCAGCCCGTTCCCAGGCCGAAGAACAGGGAAAAGAAGGAGGAGGCCCTGCCCGACATCAAGATCTCCGGCGACACGTCCGAATTCAAGTACTCCAACCGGCAGGGCCACCGATCGGCTCTCCGGATCTCCAGGGTCGTCTCGGAGACGCTGAAGCTCGGGTTGAAAGACGTGAGGTGGTTCGTCATGGGCGACGACGACACCGTTTTCATCCCCGAGAACGTCGCCCGGATCCTCGACAAGTACGACCACCGCCAGCCCTATTACATCGGGAGCTCGTCGGAGAGCCACCTCCAGAACATCTACTTCTCCTACAACATGGCCTACGGTGGCGGCGGCTTCGCCATCAGCTACCCTCTCGCCCGCGAGCTCGCCCAGATCCAGGACAAGTGCATCCAGCGGTACCCCGGGCTGTACGGCAGCGACGATAGGGTTCATGCTTGTATGGCCGAGCTCGGCGTTCCTCTCACCAAGGAACCTGGATTTCATCAGGTTTGTCTTCTTTTCAGTGTGCCGGGTTGGTCCGATTCAATCTACAAAGTACATTCGAATTCGAACCAAATATACCCAAATCGGTCCTTATTCGTTTTTATTCTAGACTAGACTACATCGATTCGATCCGATCCGATTCTAAATCGGACTACCTAGCTAGCTACCAATTCGACATGCTTTCACTAGTCGATGATCGGTTTTGTTGCAGTACGATGTATCAGGAGACCTATTGGGTCTACTGGCAGCACATCCAGTGACGCCGCTGGCCTCACTGCACCACCTAGACATAGTAGAGCCAATATTTCCAGGGAAGAGCAGAGTGGAAGCTCTGCACCAGCTGTTTCAATCGGTGAGGGTGGACGCGGCAAGTGTGATTCAGCAGTCCATATGCTACGACAGGGACAGGTACTGGTCCGTATCGGTTTCGTGGGGGTATGCGGTTCAAGTGTGGAGAGGGGTGATCTCGCCCAGAGAGCTCGAGGTGCCAACTAGGACGTTCGAAAACTGGTACAAGCGAGCTGACTACACTGCCTACTCGATGAACACTAGGCCTGTCACTAAGCACCCTTGCCTCAAGCCCTTCATCTTCTACATGAGCGCCACTAAACTCGATCGTGCTAGAAAGAAGTCTGTTGGGGTGTACTACCGGCACAAGACTCCTTCGCCTTACTGTCGGTGGAAGATGGCTTCGCCGCAGAAGATCAACTCCATTGTAGTTGTGAAGCGTCCTGACTACCATAGATGGAAGAAGGTAAAAGCATTCTTCCCCTATGCCACAAGATTTTTGCCTAGTGGGATGTTGTTTTTCTGTTGAGTGCTTCACATTTTGGTCTGGTTTATCTGAGCAGTCACCAAGGAGGGATTGCTGCAGAGTTCTGCCATCGAATCGAACAGATTCGATGTACGTGTGGGTGGGGAGTTGTCGAACAGGCGAGATCAGTGAACTGGACAAGAAATGAAATGGGGGAATACGGCTTATCCATCTCCATAACTCCATCCCATTTCCTTTCTTCTCAGAAGTGCATACAGTAGTAAAGGCAACTACTACTAACAAACTAATGGAAAGTGAGAGCTAAGGAAGCAATATTGACGGTTTCTAGCTTTCATCACACCAAGAAGAAGACCCAGAAAAGAACTGTGAACCCAATCAATGGTGCCAAGAAGAATCGACTAGCATTTTTCTGTTCATTCATCATTCATTTCATTGTGTTCTACTTCATGTTGTAACACAAAATTTGATACAAGCTGCTGCCAACATGTAGTAGTTGCCCTAAAAAGATGCAGTCGTATGTAAGACACAGTTTTGCCTTAGTGGAGTTGTTAGGTGGTTGTTGCAGAAGTAAAAATGGACATACCTACACCAGCATATCCATATGCAACCAAAACTCCAATATTACTTCTTTGGAAGGGAAAAGGAAATGGGTTCGCAGACCTTTTATGGCGACAGAAGAAGGTCCCAAGCAATCGAATTCGATCATCCGTGTGTTGTAGTATCGTCGGCCAGAAGTGCTTGACTTGGTCCAGGTGGTGCTGTAATGTTGAGTTCTGGAAGAGAGCCATCAGGCGCCATGGATTCCCAGACCGCAAGCTCGACCAAGTTAGCGTTGAAACTGACACTGACATTCTCATAGTCGATCGGATGTGTTCCTACCATTCGTCCATCCATCATCTCTATGACCACTGCAGCCCAAAGTGACATCAAACTGTGATTAGTGGTTTCTTCATTGGCTAATGCAATGAATACACTACCAAAGTGAATTTTATTTAACTTGAGAACGGAAAAAGAAAAAGTAAGCAAGAAAACGCCAATTTTCCACTCTATTTTTTTCTCGGGAAACAAACGGATCAAGGCACATGAACTGAGAATCGCCGTGCCGTTGAGCTGATGGAAACCGAGGAAAAGGTAACCAGTAAAATATATTCCCTCATCTCAATTCAACATGCAAACTGGAATCAGATCTCGAATCAATTTCACTAGTTCATTGAAATCGACGCAAGCTCCGACCCTGACATTTCCGGAATCAGTGAATCAATTTCAGCTAGCCTAACAATTCAGGTCATCGACTCGATCGTATTCACTTAACCATACTCAATTTCATTGTCAGTATCGCATTCAACACGATCGTAATCGAAGGGAAATCAATTGCCAGAGAAGCGGCAAGAAACAAGAACCCTAGCTAGCAGCAAGAACGCAACAAGAAACAGAGCAATAAGAAAGGCGCAGAGAGAAATGAATTACTGGAAACTGATAGGAAAGGGGGGAATTCGACAGTAACGGAATGAAATTCCGCGAAGAATCGCGGATTAGAAGTTCAGCGAGGGGTTTAACCTGGAGAAGAGAACCACCAGAGAATGACGAAGCAAAGAACGACGACGGCGGGAATGGCGTGGATCCAGTTGGTGGCGGATGCGGCTCCGGCGAAGTAGGAGCGGCGGTGGTGGGAGGGAGGGAGGTCGTCGTCGTGTACGTTGATGGTGTGGTGGTGGTGATCTTGCGGCGGTGCTCTCGAAGAGATCGTCTGTCTCTGCTGCATGGCGAGGAGAGAGAATCGGATTGAGAGTCCGGCTGCTGGAGAGATTTGAGAAGAGGCGAACGGAAACAGAGATCGATTTCTGGCGGAGAGAGTTTCTTGGAGCGGAGGAAGTATGGCGGTGAGGCTGGAGAAGGAAAGCGGAGGATGAGTCGTCAGTGGCGTATCTGAGGCGGTGAGAATTTTCTTGGATTTCGGCCGAGAGAGAGAGGGAGACTGTTGGTTTTATGCTGCGTAACGAACAGTTCGCATATTGGCGGGAAAGTTAGTTTGGGCTAGCGATCGGCAATGGGTGATCAGTTGTGTGGTTTTTACTTTTTAGACTAAGGGATGATGAAATTTCAAGCGTTGTATTTGGTTAATATATTATCAAGATTAAGTTATTTTTTGTTAAATTTAAGATATAATTAATGTATTGCATTTTTATGGGTTCATCTAGGTTGGAAGTTTGGTACCGGTATTTGGTATAACCGAATACCGTACCGAATTTGTTAATATTTGGTATTACCGAATACACATATTATTTCATGGGACTGGAATTGAATATGAATTTAAGTATTATTCGGTATTAGAGATTACGGGATTGAGATCAGTATTATATTAAAATACCAAAAAATACCGAAATATATATTAGTGTACATTTTAATACTTATAAAAAAAATACTCACAAATCACATTAGGCTCCCCTCACTCGGGCCTACAACTAAAAGAACTCCCAAGTCCCAACTATTCAAGTTGGCCCATTCCCTTACTTTTCGAAAAATTTACGATCAATCCCCCATTGCCCAACCCAACAGGCAACCCACAATCCCAAAGCCTTAAGTCCACACTACTCTCGTGTCTCATCCCACACAAAAAACCTAGGTCACTTTCTTCTCCAATTTTCGTCGACACTCTCAAGCGCGAGCTCTCAACCGCTCAACCTACATCAAAGACTACCTGCAATCAACCAGTGTCAAGAAATGAAGGAATCATTGCTGCCAACATAGATCCAGTTCACTCAGCCCCCAATCTCCATCACATTGATGCGGAACGGGATTTCACGCACCGGTGATTTCGAGCGATTTAGCGAAAGAACTAGAAAACACGATAAAAGAACTACTTTTCTCTACTAACTACTACTACTCTATTGATCAACTTAATAAAACGAAGAGCAAAGGTACATATTTATAGGACAAGTCCCACGAACCCCTTTCCTCTTAAGACAAGGAAACCCAAACCCAAAGCAACAAGTAAACGAATACTTCCTAAACAAGATACATAATAATAATCCTAAACCCAAACTAATACGAATAACCCAAATAATAACCGAATATCCCACCAAATAATAATAATAAAACAATAATAATAATAATATTAATGGGCTCGGCCCAAGACGCCGTCACCCATCAATCCTCCCCCCTTTTTACAACTTCGTCCCCGAAGTTGCCTTCCGCTTCCGCTCTTTCTTCCTCTGCCTTGAAGTCGCCGATCATGACTAAAACGTTCGCGTTGGCGCAGCGATGCCCATACGTGAATCTCTCGTCGCAGTTATAGCATAGTCCGTCGCGACGACGCTTAGCAGCTTCTTCCGGTGACAGGTTGCGGATGATGCGCCGTGGCGGAGGTGGTGGAGCTCGCCCTGTTGTTGGCGCAGTTGGCGGAGCAGCTGGTGGTGCAACTAGAGCAGGTGGCGGTGGCGTCCAAGTCGCGTCGGCGGTGGCAGTCGGCGGTGCAGTCCTCGTTGATCCCTTCTCCAAGCGCAACTCTTCCTCGCGTATCTTAGCCAATCGATACGCTTCGCCAGTGGTTTGCGGATTAAAAGCTCGGATATAGGCAGATATTTCCGGCTTCAATCCTCCCATTTAGGACCCCATGATCGCAACCTTAGTCCAACCGAGGCAACGATTCAGCAACTTCTCGAAGGTATGTTGATATTCGTCAATGGAACCAGTTTGACGAATCTTGGCCAACGCCTCATGTCCAGACGACTTCTCCGGTGACCCATACCTTTTCCATAACTCGGCGCACAGACTGCTCTAAGACATCATCACCCCGTACTTCGCAAATTCTTCCTCAAGCCACATGATCCACTGTTTGGCGTCACCATCCATGTGATAAGTAGCCAACGCCACTTTCTGCTCTTCTGGAATGCACTGGTAACGGAAGTACTTCTCAACACGCGAGACCCACCCAGATGGATCTTCCTTGCCAGTGAACTTCGGAAATTCGAGCGGTGAGATCCTGGTTCGAAACATTGCTTGACCTGACTCCTCGAATTGACCCATGGGTTGGGTCAACCCAGTCGGTCCACCTGAATAAGGCCCGCCCGGCCCGTGGACTTGGGGTCGGCCCACAGCGGGTCTGCACCAGTTCTGCTGACTCGGCCTGAGCGGTGGTCTGGGCTCGGTCCAGCTTGCCCGTGCAGCCCATGGCTCGCTTGGCCCAGCTCCCTGCGCTCCTGGCCCACTCGGCGGCCACTGAGGGCGCGGCCCATTCCCCGGAAGACCCGGACCGTAAGCGATCGAGCCCGCCGGTCCATAGGGCCCGTTTGCGTCCCCGACCCACTGCTCCGCTCGCTCCGGCCCGCCCGGGATCACGCCTGGCCCAGACGGCTTGTCTCCAACTCGACCTCCCTCGATTGCTCCTAGGCCAACCTCGTAGAGCAAGGCCCCAGTCAGGCCACCCATGTTGGGCCCTAGCCCACGAAATACTCCTCCGCGGTTGGTGGACTCTAGAGTCGGCCTCATCGGTGGCCTCCCCCCTTGGGCGACTGACTCGCTACGACACAACTCCTAACAAAGGCCAAGTGTAACCAATGAAAGGGACTGCAGTCTAGTGGCTCAAGTAATAAATATCGAATCCACGGGTCTCTAGAGTTACTATTACTCAGCTTCAGTTCATTATTTAGCAAACCAGATTAATAAGGAAGAACTAAAAGTACTCTAGCAAACTACAGTTAAAGTTAATCTAATTACAGGTTGGGAACTCACTTAGGTATGATTCCCCCTAGCCACTAGCCAGATTAATGATTGATGATCTCTAACCTGTTTCACTTTCATTCACAATGCGGAGAATCCTTGACTAGACCTTGAGTCTTGACTAAAGGAACAAGGCCCTCTTGAGTCAATTGTCTAGAGGGACGTATCCTTCTCTAGAACAACTGATCAAGGCGTTCTGAACTAGACTCTCTCTATTGAAAGAGGTTCTCAATCGATACAAAGCAGTGAATCAACCCTTGAATAAAGCAATCGATCCACTACTATAAATCTATGGTGCTCTATTGACCTAATCAGGTATTTTCTCTCATAGGATCAAAGCAGAATCAATAATCTCGACTAAAGCAGAATTGAATCATGAAAACATGCATAGATTGAATATGAACTCAAGATTATCAAGTCAGAGTACTCATACAATCATCCAATCAAACAAACATAGCTAGGGTTCCTCAAAACCTAAGTGAAGGGAAGTTACTCCATAGAGAAGAGAGAGATTGCAGTAAGAATCTTTAGATGATCAGTCTTCAAGTCCGGGCTTGTTCCTCGAGCTTCCAAGGCGAAGAAATCCTCCTCCAATTCCACTCTTAGAATGCCCTCAAATCGCCCTCTCTCTCTTTGGTTCGTCCCTTGGGTGTTGGGGATCCAAAACCCAGCTC